CGTAAATTAGTGGCAGGCTGTGTCCATAAATGAGCGGCGCTCCCGCTATGATTTTGTGACACTCTTCTGGGACACTTTTACACGACACTCGTACTGGAAATAACCGCTACATTTTGCATACCTGACTTTTAGGCAAGCTTGAAAATGCAAACCTAATAAGTAATATTATATTAAATTAAACAAGATCTATGTGTTTTGACAAGGGACATTTATGTTCTGGGAGCAACATCGATACTCATTGTTTTAAGACAACAAAAGATCACAAAAATGACAACAATGACAGCACATGACAAACAAATAACAAACAAGGACAAAATTGACAACCCTGAGGCTCGAAGTTAAGGCCTCGAAGTTAAGGTGTGATTCCATTTTGGTGATAAAAATGGAAAATGGATGGACCATACGTGGTTCATGCAATCATAATTTCCATGCTAAACAGGTCAAATCCATGCCCAGTTTCTCTCATCAGTTCATACATTTGACACAAATGACTCAGCTGCACACTGAGCTGGCCAACGTAATCACAACGTGTTAGCATCGTGAGCAGGTAAACGTTCAATCAACGTTTTACCATATTTTAGATTTTATCTTTTTGAACATATTTTGTCTTTTTTTAAAATATTTTGTAAACAAAAATATGAAACCACATTTGTTTGCACAACGTTCTGGACAACAAATTAGTCTACCAAATTTCAGATTAGCCTACCTAAATTTCAGAAATGCCTATGTCATTTTCAAATCACCTAGGCATTTCTGAGATCAGGTAGGCATTTCTGAAAGTCATGAAGGGCAAACCCCTACAAACTAATACCTTACGATCTGGGATGCATTCTTAAGTTTGTGATATATATATATGATCATACATTATACACTATCATTCAATATGATAAAATGTAAATATAAATATACAAATAAAATATGATATGATATATAATACAACATAATATTGATATCAGATTCATTATATTATTATATGTAAATGTAAGACACACATACATACATACATTACATTACATTACATTACATTACATTACATTACATTGCATTACATTACATTACATTACATACATATATATATATATAGCTATAATTGAAAACTATATATATATATAACTATACATATATGTATATATATATATATGTATAATTTGCAAATGTGATATATCTATGATTTACAGCATTTTCCGTGGCGAAAATCGCCGTTTCACCGTCGCCTCGGGTGGAAAGGGCGGTGACAGCCGTCCCGAAAGCACCTTGCTCCACTCGAGCGACCTCGGTCGATCCGCAGGATCCCGGTTTTCTATGGGGATCCAATGCGTAAAGCGAAACGCCTCAAAAAAGTGGCTGAATTCTATGGTTTAAAGTATAGATATATCTATAGTATATCTATAGGATATCTATAGTATATCTATTGGATACAGTATCTATAGTATATGTATAGTGTAGCTTAACTAATGAACAGGGATTCATAGAATGGATATAAGTGGATATAATGCATGTTTTGATAAATAAAACAGATTATATCCTATGAAACTAATGGTTTCCCATTTATCAAGAACATATACTATTTTTAAAAAAAGGAAGTTATATCCAACTATTGGGATATCATGATGATATTGGAGTGATTTAACTCATATAATGATTATAATATAATGGGATTAACTGATGATAATGGGATATAATAATTTTTGAAAAAGGATTATATCCGATATGATATTAAACAAATGGTATTTATATCCAACAATGATGGGGTTTGGGTATAATATATGGCTTTGTCTGAAAATGTTGTATACCCCAACATAGCTAGTTCTATAGGTATAATGATGATTAACTATCAAATGTTGGGGTATAACCTATTTTTAGACAAACTCACATTATTGAAGATTCAATGGTGGTCGATAGACCGTATCCATAGACCATTGTTGTTGGGGGTCACAAAGTCACAAACGTGGGAGCGGTTGTGAAACACAGGATACAGTTGTGATTCATAGGCATGAATACCATATACAACTATATAGTGGATATCATCAACGGATATTATATCTGGGATATGATATACCCAACCGTACTGGGGGTTGCTAAACAATTATGTACATCTATGATCATCTATGTACAGTCCCAAAACAAACATTTATTTCCAGATATTTCTCCAATATTCGGCATCTTGGCAGGCTGGAAGCCCCTAAGACCCTCCGGGTCTAACTAACATATATAGTGAAAATGGCCATAAAAATAGTTGATTTACCGAACTTCAACATGGTGATTTTCCCAAAAATAATGTTAGTTTGAGGTTGAAGGGTACCCAAAACCGCCAGTTTTTAAGCCAAACTGCACCGTCCCGGGCTGGGATAGAATGGTTTGAAAATCTTTGAAACCACCAACGCCACCAACTCCCAAACGGTCTTGTTCAATATTTTGGCTCTTTGTATGTCGACTATAAACAGAAATTATAATGACCATACATATATACATATATATATACTATACTCTATACATATTTGTATGCATATGTATACAGCTCGCTGCATATAGAAATGCACACATATCGAATAGCATATCTATTTAAATACATACAATATATATATATATATATATATAATATCATAATATATATGTATATACACATGCTATGCATCGCATATCTATTTATATACATATATACATCATGTGTCGTAATATATCGTAATATATATATATATGATATTATAAACATAGTGCACATACATTTAAAAACGAAACGCACCTACGTCTCCATACCATGCATCACCATGCCTTCGCCAAGGGACTTGAAGAACGCATGACCTTGAATCGTGTGCGTGTCCTCGGTGCATGAAAACTTGGTGAAGTTTTGATCTGAAAGCTCTGAAAATTGGTGAAACTACCTTTGGAAAAAAAAAACATGAGAACAAAAATTCAAACCAATCCCCATCTATAAATCGATGGTATGGATGGTTTATAGTGGAAAATACGACTAAAATATGGATAATGATTGGGAAATACTGGTTGGTGGTATACCTACCCCTCTGAAAAATATGAGTTCGTCAATGGGAAGGATTACATCCCATATATTAATATATATTATGGAAAATAAAAGTCATGTTTGTTTGAAACCACCAATCAGATGAAGATGTTCGGCAAATTGTCCAAAGTAGTTGGAAACCAATGTTGAGAACCAAAGTCAGTTGGGAAACCAACAAAAATGGAAACCAATGTTGGGAACCAAAGTCAGTTTGATGGAAACATATGGAAACCAAACCAAAAATGGTGTCTCCATCTTTGAACAAAACCATGAAGATCTTTGGCAAATTTTGGAAACCAAAATGTTGGGAACCTCCAACAAGTCACGAGAAAAAAGACCATGAAACTGGAAAATCCATGGATGGTCAATCCGATGGGCGCAGCATTTTCGACAGCTGCGTGGCCCATTTTATGGGCCCCCGTGGTTTTCCCAAGCCGCGCAACTGCCTTTGTCCGAGAGATTTTTCATGGGCCGGCTGCAACCCAAACGATGCTCATCAAAACACGAGCGTGGCGACTATGTTTGGTGTATGTATATGTATGTAATAGGCTATATATATATAGGTATGAATAATTTCAAGAGCTTGTCTCAAAATGTGGTTTCCCCAAAAGTTCCTGGCTTACCATCATTTTTCCCATTAAGATTGATAGAAATTGGCAAGTTTTAAGTATCCTCAGTCCTCATTCCACACATTTTGAGTCAATCCCCAACATCCAGATCATTGTGTTCAGGCGTAAGTTGGGCTTAAGTTGCTAGCAGAACTTACTTACTGCTCGGACAAGGGCAAAGGGCTGAATCTGGGGCTTCAATCCACTTACATCTTTTCAGCTCTACTGTCGTTTTCGCAGAAACTAGACAGCATAGATAAGCCTTGAAGTATCACGAAGAATCCAATCTCAACCAACACGCAACTTCGGTTCAGATCTTAGCCAAATCTCAATCAGCCATCACGTAGACATTTCATGACACTTCCGTTAGATCTTCCACTCCTTCGAAAAGTTGGCCGTGGACTGCAGCACGACTAAGTTTACAGCTCCCCATTTGAGGATCTCCAGGGCTGCAATGGACACGCGCCGCTGCGCGCCCCGGTGAAAAGCGAAAGATGGGACAACTGGGTGAAGCGACGACTCCGAGTCGTTTCTGGACAGCATCTGGGAAGGTTTCTGCGGTAAGATGTGGTAAGGTTTCTGGTGAGGTTTCCCATGAACCGTATTAAAAGTATTGAAATATCTTGAAATGATATGTTCAGCGCACAGATTTGCATGGTTGCACGTCAGTTCTGAGTTCTTTCAGAGAGCTTCGATCTCATCCAGCAGAGTTCGGAAAGGTCTGGGCAATCAGAAAACCTCAGAAAACGCAAAGCCCTGGGCTCAACCACTGATTTACCCCAGCATTTTCGGAGAAGCGGCCAAGATTTAGGTGCAAACATGTGTTACCCTCTGGTAAACGTTTACATAACTATGGAAAACCACCCATTTTGAATGGGAAAATCAACTAAAAATTGTCATTTTCAATAGCTATGTTAGTTTACCAGAGGGTATCTGGAAATAATTCTTTGTTTTGTGACTGTACATAAATGATCATAAATGTACATATTGTTTTTCTGTGATACGAAACTGGCAAAGGCGATTTATGTTTGTAAAGGATCCACCATCCCCTAATTTTACCATGTTTATGGGTGGTATCAATATGAACCATCAATTTGTATGGATGGTTTATGACATTGCTGTACAAACATTACCCTCCAGTAAATTGACATAGACCCTGCCAGATGGGGGTTGGAAGATTGATTTCCACTAAAAATAGGTTATCTTATGTTATTTTCAGGGTCCAAGTCTTCACTTACCAAAGGGTAATATCCCATGAAAATCCATTGAAATCCCATTGAATCACCATTTTCCAAGCATTTTCCCATGATTTTCCTATGATTTCCCAACGGATCACAGCAGAATTGGACCCTTCAACAACCATCCCGAGCACCTTATCGTGCGGACAAGGCTTTATCAGACCTTGCTGGCTTTCTGGCGGAAATGGGGATGGGATGATGTGGGTTTTGATTGGTCCAAAAGTGGTTCCAAAACCTTTAGAAACAGCAAGAATGCTCAGAAGCTTTGGATTTTTAGATGTTTTTAATCAATATTATAGTTGAAGGATATTGAAGGGTTTTGAAGTTCGTGAGTTCCTACTGAAATCCTAAGTCCAAAGTTTATGTTGGAGGATCCGTGGGGTGGCCCCTTTCTTTCACAACCCAAGGTGCTTTGGGCGACTTTGGGCCAATTCCCCCGAGTTATAGTCACTTTATGGCACTTTGATATCGAACGTTAATTATATATATATGCAATGATCAAGCAGTAGAATATTGTATCAATTATCAATTAAATTCAAGTAGTATAACAATGGTGGATTCCCCATATTGAGCCTTGCCAGAATAAATCGCCGAAATCCACTCCCCTGGTGGGATGTTGTTGTGCATCATGTGTAAAGAAAAATCACAGAGGATCGTATAATGCGGCTAAAACAATAATAAACCACCCATTTGGGAATGGTTTATAGCACCTATTTATGGTGATTTGGGGTATGGTTTATTATTGTCTTAAGCACATTAGAATATTATAGAGTCCTATATGGAGGTGTCCTAAAACCGGGATACCCCAATCATCCAAAATTAGGCTAGGTCAGTTTAGTATTGAAACCTATGGTTTTGGGTACGTAATTTTGAGGCCCGTGAGGACGTTTCCCAGATAGCTTAGGACGCTAGAATCGGGGAACACTATGGGATTTTTGGAGGAAAATGATGATCAACCCATCAATATTGGGGTTACCTCATATCATATGTTAAAGCAAACCCAAATTAAAGCAACACATTGCCAGCTCTGGGCCAGCTGGCTCAGTCTCAGCTTTGCGTAGGACTTCCTGCGGCCAAGGCTGGGACTTTGGACTGGCAAACTTCTTTCTTTTGCGTTGAAACTACATTTGAAACACATGTAGCAATCATGTACTAATTACTACACATAATACACATACATTCTGCTATCAACAACCCCACATGTTTTTTGATTTCTCCAATTTCTCCAAAGGCGAAGCCAACGTGCGCAGGCAGCGTGTCCTGCCGTGCGGTCAAGGCCTTTTGAAGCCGAGTCTTGTTGAACTTGCGTTCCACCTGTCGCGGGGCCCGAAAAATGTGAACATCGTGGCCTGAAGCGTTGAAAGCACTATATATTTATGTTGTAGCATGATGGATGTGGGATGGCTGCGAATTGTTAGTATAAAGTTTTTTCCAAAATGCAGTCATTCCCCACCTGCCAGGTGAGGGTTGTTAGATTTTATGTCAGTTGCCTCCTCCTCCTCCTGCCGCCTCCTGCCGCCTCCTGCCTCGTCCTGCCTCCTGCCTCCTCCTCGTCCTCCTTGTCGTCCTTGTCGTCCTCGTCGTCCTCGTCGTCCTCGTCCTCCTCGTCGTCCTCGTCGTCCTCGTCCAACTGCGACCCGCGATCCACAGTGTTCGCTGCCGGACCTCAACCACGACCATCCACGCCCAGTGTTCCCTGCCGGACCTCAACCACGACCAGCCACGCCCAGTGTTCCCTGCCGGACCTCAACCACGACCAGCCACGCCCAGTGTTCCCTGCCGGACCTCAACCACGACCATCCACGCCCAGTGTTCCCTGCCGGACCTCAACCGCGAATATCCACGCCAAGTGTTCCCTGCCGGACCTCATGTAGGAAGATATGGGACAAAGAATGTGCAGAAGAAAGTTAGAAAGAATGTCAGAAAGAATGTCAGAAAATATGCCAGAAGATATGCCAGATAGAATGCCAAATAGAATGCCAGATAGAATGCCAGAAGATATGTCAGAATATATGCCAGAAGATATGCCAGATAGAATGCCAGATAATATGCCAGAAGATATGCCAGATAGAATGCCAGATAGAATGCCAGAAGATTTGCCAGATAGAATGCCAGAAAATATGCCAGAAGATATGCCAGATAGATATGCCAGATAGATATGCCAGATAGAATGCCAGATTGAATGCCAGAAGATATGTCAGATAGAGTGCCAGAAGATATGCCAGATAGAATGGCAGAAGATTTGCCAGATAGAATGCCAGAAGATATGCCAGAAGATATGCCAGATCATATGCCAGAAGATATGCCAGATAGAATGCCAAATAGAATGTCAGAAGATATGTCAGATAGAATGCCAGAAGATTTGCCAGTAAGAAAATGTATAAATGTCATGGTGGGGATCACACGAAGTAAAGTAATTAACTGGTTGGTGGTTGACCTACCCCTCTGAAACATATTAAAGTCAGTTGGGATGATGAAATTCCCAATGGAAAGTCATAAAATTCCATGGTTCCAAACCACCAACCAGTTAACTCACACTGGGAATAAATGCCGGTGGGAAGACTTCGCTGTTGAATCGATTTTTTTCGGAAGGAACCGCTCCTTTACGACTGCTTTTGGATGCTTTTGGTATCTTACTTAGCACCATTTTGCAAAGACTGCCAAGGCTTCCAAAGAAGAAGGAAAGCAAGAAAAGAGAAGGAAAGAGGGAAGGAAAGACCGACAGAAAGAAGAAAACATGGCAGAATGAATTCAGGAAACAAAGAAAGAACGATTGAGAGATCTTCTCCCGCAGCCATGAGCCCAACAAAGGAACATAAATTGAAAGTCGAACATAATTTAAACTCCCATGTTCCTTTCGGTAAGAGTGGGAATATTAAATGTTATTAACTTCTTAGGCAAGGTTCCTTTAGGCATACAATCACATATTGACTTCGCCAATTGTTTGGGTGGGGGCATCCTCTAATCCACCTCAAGTGATGGCAACTATCTCCGTGAAGTTCAGAATATGCCAAGAAATTCAGAAGCTGGAAGCAAATCTTGGGGTGATTTCTTTATACATCACCATTTGGTGTGAATTCGCTGTGAACTCACTATAATATACCGAGACATGCGTATTATCCTTCAGTATTCCTTCAGTAAACTAACATAGCTATGTAAAATGGATCATTTATAGATGATTCACCTATTAAACTAGTGATTTTCCAGTTCACTATGTTCGTTTACCAGAGGCTATCCTCGTTTATTTGGTGATCTTTCAACGCCTCGTTCATCTGGTCACGAGCATAACGCGAAGGTGTTTCCTCATTCCTGGGCGGTCGCGGGCTCAGGACTTCCGGTTGCACCAGAAAACCATCAATGAGGGTACCCCAAGCGAGCATTGGATCGTTGATTTCATGGAAAGTCCCATCTATAAATGGATAATGACTGGGGGTAGCCCTATGACTTAGGAAACCTCCGTTTAAGGATATTTAAGGCTTTGTCTGAAAATGTGGTGCCTGAATTCCAACGGGAAGATTTTTGTTCTCCATGAGATCATGGCTCCTGTTAAACGTACTGAGATACCTCGGGTGTCAAACGTGGCAAATTCCCAAAATAAATGGAGGCTGAGTTCAATGGGAAAATCATCAACACATATTTTGGGATTCTCCATTGCCACGTTTGATTGAGGGTAAGGGGACACACCACACTTACTGACCCGCTTGGTGCTGGAACAACATTATTTATATATATTTTTTTCAATAATGCTCGTGTTTGCTGATTCTATGGTTGAACAGTGTTGAAACTACAACATGTTTGGAACCACCAATCAGGGCCAGTATTCAACGCCAAAGCTAGGATTCATTCCATGAATTAAACATGGATCCTGTGAAGGCATCATCTCATAGTTCCACTGGGTATCATTGGTTATAGACCATTACATTCCCATGTTAAACGCAAAAAAATATGGTGGAATCATGATCATCATGATCAATCCCACTAAATCCCAGGAAAAAAATTGAAAAAACCAGCTGTTTTGATGGTTTCCAAGTACTTGAAACAACTTCTGGGTCCCAGGTATCCAAGGTATCCAAGGTACTTGAGACGGATTTGTTCCCGCAAATTCTCCGCATTCACCTCGTGTAGCTCGGACGCCCAAGGGACGGAATTCCCTGGTGATCTATGAAGCTTGATCCCTGAAAACATGCTACTCTCAATGGATCGGTTTAAGGGAAAATCGGAACCGGAAACCATAGATTTTCCCATTAAAAAAAGGGGCTTTCCGGTTAAAATTTTCCCTTAACCAATCCATTGATACTCTCTGGTAAACTGACACTTTGCGAACTGGAAAGATCCAGCATTTTTTTTGATGGCTAACGGCTAAATCAACTATTTCGACTGGGCAATTTTCAATAGCTATGTAACAAATTACCGACAATTTGCTATGGAAAGTAGCCATGTTTAATAGGTGAATCAACGATTTCTATGGCAATATTCAAAAGCAAACTGTAACACATTACCAAAGGGCATGGTTATATAAACACCATCTGGTTATTTAACATCGCTATGGAAAACCCCCAAAATAAATGGAGGTTTATAGCTGGGAAAATCATCTGTTTCTATGGGTCATTTTCCATAGCTATGTTAAATAATCAGAGGTAATATATACCGTCTGGTAAATAAACATAGACCCTGAAAATAACAATTTTTTAATGGAAACTAATCTTCCAAGTCCTATTTGCCAGGGTCTATGTGAAATAATCAGAGGTAATATATATATATTTATATATACATATAATAATGGGTTTGATGTTTTGATCAATCCCTTTATCAAGTTGCAAGATGTCACAAGACTTGCAAGACTAGGGGATTTGACCAATAGTTTTCTTGCTCACATTCCGACAATGACGCAGTCATGTAGATGAAAATGTCACGCCTTTGAAATTCAAGACTTGCAACATGTTTCCCATTGCCATTTACGGATTTGATGCGAATCATGATTCAGCAATTCAGCCAATAGAACAGACATATACAAAAATAATATATACGAGTATAATATCGATTATCACTGAAAGAAAGCCATAAACAGCATTAAAAAGCCATATTTCAATCATAAACAGCTATATTTCAATGGATCGAAGAAGTCATTTCCTGTACCCTCTGGTAAACTAACATAGCCATTGAAAATGGCCATTTATAGTGAGTTTTCCCATTAAAAATTGTGATTTTCCATAGTTATGTAAACGTTTACCAGAGGGTAGTCACCAGATGGGTCCAGAAAGGTACCCCCCCAGCATCGATGACACCTGCAGGGCACGGCGTTTGGCTTCCACTTTGGCCTGGCGTCCGTGGAAGTCCTGTTTTCTGGAGTTTAAATGATTATGGTTTATATCATGTACATACACACACATATATAATTATATACATATCCCTGATATATCCTTGATGTGTATATATATATTCATTCATGTATGGCAAGTCAAATGGTTAAACGGTTAAACACCCATTCTGCTGATTCTTTCAACCATTTCGCCCCATCCCCGCGCACCTGCTCTTTCTGCGCCAGTGCTTCATCCTGAGCCTTGAGGCGAGCAAGGAGCCTGGCGACGTCGTGCGTTCGCTGGTGACCGCTGGTGGATGAGTTTGGGGAAGTTCTACCCGCTTTTTGAAAAATGGGGCTGTCCATAGTCATGGGAAAACTCCAATAGCTGGATGGTTTACCCTCTGGTTATGTCAAAATAGCTATTGAAAATGGCCATAGAAATAGTTGATTTTTCCATTTAAAATGGTGATTTTCCATAGTTATGTAAACGTTTACCAGAGGGTATCATGGAAAATCATATCAAAATCATCCATCAAGATCCATCAAGATCCATCAAGATATGAGCAGACGCCACGTGAATTGTGCCGGAAAATTCATTCCCGGAGATCGAATTCCGCAATTCCGAGTTGTGAGAAGCTATGAGGATTCCAAAGTGGGATGATCCCCCATAGATACCAGCCATATATATATCTTAATATACATAATATGAATCATTATGAGATAACCTTGGTTGGTAAATATGGAATTGTTGTTTTTCTAAAGAATATAATTCTATAATATTCTAGTACACGTAATTCTGGGCAAACCCAACTTGAGGGACTCATAAAACCAGGGATAAACCAGGGATAAACCAGCCACTTTCCATCACTTTCCCAAGCACTCTCCGTACCAAGCACCATCTCAACGATGCCGGGACGGCTCGAGTTCCTCCTCCCGCGCTTGCTGCTTCTGAATCTGCCGTTCCTGCACCCCAAAATGGCATGGTTCATGTTGCTGCTTATGGATGGTTGTGGTTCTTCTCCATTCATGGCCAAACCTCTGGTTATTCTCCATTCATAGCCATTTATAGCCATTTATAGTCATTTATAGCCAAAAACTCAAGATACTATGGTGATTTTCCATTTATAGCCCAAAACTCAAGAATTGAACTACCCAAGGTCGGGGATGGATTGATAATACTCAAGATACTAAAAGGACGAATGAAAAAACGTCACCACCCCTGCAGGCTTTGGGGTGCTTAAATTCACCATACCTGTTTCGAATGAGAGTGCTCAAACTGACACTCGTCTGACAATATGCAGCAGCTGGCTCTTCCTCACCAAGATGATATTATATATGATTTATATGATATGTTCCTGAGTAAAACTTGGCTAAAGAGCAAACTCGTTCTCCGAGTTACATTGCGCAACAATATTGGTGTTTCTGAAAATGGGGGATCTCCCATTCAAGTCATGGATGACCAAACTATACTGGCTGGTGGTATACCTACCCCTCTGAAAAATATGAAAGTCAGTTGGGATGATTATTCCTAATATATGGAAAAATAAAAAATGTTCCAAACCACCAACCAGTATAGTATTGAAACAACCATGGTTGTTTGTTTTTCTTGATTTTACGAAACCTCCATACTGGATCGTACTGGGGTATAGTAACTCTAATGGTCAAATCCTGCATGTCCCGTGTGTTTCACACCTGCAGCTGCATCTGGATATATTCATGGCTCGCTTTCCTCAGAACCAGGTGACTTATCGGATGGACGAAGCTGAAAATCTGGAGAATCCCTACAAATTCTGGTGAAGAATTGTCCCTATTAACAAATGCCTTTGTGGGGTAGATCAAAGGTATACCCATTTTTATACCCATGTTTAATGTGAATCAATACAAAGTCCAAAAAATGATCAACATCTTCCAGCACTGTACGTACGGCGATTTTCTGGATGACTCAAACAAGTTGAATCAGTTCAGTGGTGTTACCCTCTGGTAAACGTTTACGTAACTATGGAAAATCACCATGCTTTTAATGGGTCATATCCACTATTTCTATGGCCATTTTCAATAGCTTTTTGTATGTTCACCAGAGGGTATATCCCATCCTCATGAATCACCAATAAATCACCATTCACCATCATTAACCGCATTTAACCGCTATTCAATTCCATTAAATCCCCAATGTTTGATGATTAAATCACCATTTTATCAGAGGATACCCCAACCTATGGATATCGTTCAGTGCTGGTTTCATCTCTTTTCAAACTGAGCACCAGGCTTGGCTTCCTGGCAGCACTTTGCGAAGTGGAACATGACCCATTTTGCAATGATATTTAGGTAAATCAACGAACTTTCTATGTGCCATTTTCTAGTTAGCAAACTGTGAAAAATTACCAGAGGCTATAGAATTAATCTATGTGATCTCCCTTAGTTCTTTTTGCGAAAGTATGATCTTGTCTTGTATGATGTACATTGAGCGACGAACACCAAGTCTTAGGGAAAAAAACCAATGGATACAGCAATTCCAACACACATATGCCCAGGTGAATACACCGGGATTCTGGGTCAAAATTTGAGTGACCATCACACGTAAAATTACGCCATGACGATGAGCTATCAAATAGATACCCTCTGGCAAACGTGACAGTGGACAATCCTCCGTTTACACATGAGCAACGTCAAAAACCTGGTTGCAAACTGGTTCTATTGGTTTCTTTAAAGCGAACTGGTTCATGATTCCGTTTCAACAAGTTAGTAGAACCAACAGTTAAGAATAAATCAATGGGCTTTTGCCGCTGTTCAGATGATTTCCCATTAAAAAAACATTCATAGGAGATTTCCCCTTGCCACGGTTCACTTCCAGAAGGTAATGCGACAAACTCTGCTCAAGATGCGGACCTCTGGCAATTCTAAAATAGCAATCAAAAATTATCATTTGAAATGTTTTTACATCAAAAAAATGATATCATTTTTCTATTGTATCCTATTTTATTCTATAATGTTCTGTTCTGTTCTCTTCTGTTCTATATCCTATTTCTATTTCAATGTCAACATGTCGCACACACACACACTATTTATTCTCCAGTATATTCTACTGGACTACTTTAAAAGGTATGATATCACATCATATCACATATATATATGCATACATAGTATATACATTATTTTATTTTAAATGAAACTATTAGATTATTTCATTATGTGCTACACTATGCTATATTTCGTTAAATTAAGTCAGGAAAATGTCGGTTGCCCATCGGCTAGAAAGGGGTGAACCCCCATCGCCCAGGTTTCGGGCGACCTTCATTTTCTTCTCGCGCATCTCCATCTTCAGTTTCTCCTGGAGGCTGAGCTGCGGCCAAGGGGCCATGGGGGCTATAAACTATCGGAAATGAATATTCTTCTGGTGCGAAGTAGTTCTTGAAATGATGGATCAAACAAACACATCAATAGAGTTTCAGGGAAGTTTTTTTGTGACGACAAAAGTGTGAAAAATGAATGAACATACCTTGGGCCATTGGAGTACGGAGCCCCATGTCGCGCTGCAAGTGCGGGGGCCCTCAGAGACGCCTGGTAAAAGGTAGGAGACAGGAGGCATGAGGACTTTTGTTGGGGAGTTGCTTGTGTTTTCACTGTGGTGTTTTGCAACTGCGTCAGACTTTGCGCAGTGAAATTATTGCACCAGCTGCATCAAGATGAGGTTTGATAGGTTTGTTACAATAAGATTGATACAATAAGCATGTATCTGTGGTGAACTGCGGTTTTGCGGGTTTTGTTGCGGTACGGTATGCTGCCTGCGCTGCACCAGGCAGTCTGTCTGCAGGAATGTCTTCTCAGCGCTTCTTAGCTATTTTCAGGTCGTCTCAGCTCTTCTCAGCCTCTTTTCAGTTGATATCAGCTTTTCTCAGCTCTGCTCAGCTCAAAAAATGCGCATCTCAGCTTTTCTTAACTCATCCCATTTCTTCTCAGCTCAGCTCTTCTCTCATCACAACCTTGACGCAGCCATTCCACTGCGATTGGCGCAGCCCATGCAGGTGGTCCAGGGCAGTGTGGCTGCGTAACTCCAAGCCAGTCCAAGACTCGTCCTGCTGTACAAACTATTTTCATGATCAACCATGATGATCTAAATATATATATATATATTATATTACTTATAAATTTTGTATATATATATATTACTGACTATATATTGTATGATATGATACTATCTGGAACAGTGAAGCAGGTGCGCAAGCCGACTTTCACCGCAATTTTGGATGGGCCAATAGGATCCGCATCTCCTTCTCCTCGGCGATCGCTTGGTACCTCTTCGCACCTCACCATTGAGACCAGCTGGTGGAGCTGCACGCGTTCGGTGCAAATGTCTCACTGCCATTGGGGGTGACTGAAACACAAAGCCAGTGGCTGCCAGTGGCTGTCTTTCTGTTGGATTCTTCATCTTTTTTGGATAGACTGTGGATAGAAAGAAACACATATAATCACATAAAATTCCCTGTTTGGGTTGATTAGTATCCCTGTTCATCTGGGGATAGAGACACAATAACACACCAGCCCATTTTTTGACCCATTTTTGACCCACGTCCCCATGGTGTACACCATGGCACAGCCATATCTTCCCACCACTGGGATCCCGGGACGTTCTTCGTCCTCCCGCATCTTCTTTTCCAACTCGTTGCCCACCCCGGCCTCGTACCTCTGGCGCAAAAAAAAGGATCCCACAGAGCGTCACGGGGTGGTTAACAACGTCATAACCACAATGAGAATCCATCATTATGTTAATATACTCTTAATAATGGTTTATATATGGTTATCATATGGTTAATGATGGTTAATAGTAATCTGGTTGGTGGTTGACCTATCCCTCTGAAAAATGATGGAGTAAGTTCGTCAGTTGGGATGATGACATTCCCAAAAAATATGGGAAAGTCATTCAAAATTCCATGGTTCCAGTCACCACCAACCAGTAATCCATTTATAGATGGCATAAGCACTTATATACTCGGTGATACTCGGTGGGACGCCTCTCCAAGTATATGTGTGAAGGTTTCCCAAGTCACCGGGGGTGGTGACTTGTTTTTTTTCATGTTAAGAAACCCCAGGTAGTCACAAGTAAGTTAAACCATGTTAAACCTATGGTTGATATATGTTGATATATGTTGATATTGCTAGGTTCATGATTATCTTTTTTATGATTACCCTCTGGTAAACATAGACCCTGCTAGTCTTCCAACCCCTATTTGCCAGGGTCTATGTTAATTTACCAGAGGATAAAACTTATCGTTTTTTGTGGTAAACTCGAAAAAAAACATCCCCAACGTCACCCACAAAAACCACCAGCACCAGCACCGGCCCCAAACGAAAAAAGTTCGTTTTTTCATGGCAAATCGCGCACCCAAACGATGGAGAATCATTGGCCGCTTACGGAGAATCCGAGTTGAGCCATATTTGGCTTACTGGTGCTTAGTAGGGATGATTATTGATGATCCCATTCCCATCCATTCCCTCAGTATTGATGATTATTGATGCATATTGATGCTGGGGAAATTGATCATCCATATTAGGTCCATATTAATCATTGGAATGGGGGTTGCTGGGATGATTATTGATAGTTAGCCAGTGGATCATTCCCGAATTTTCCCTGCGTTTAGCACCAATAAGTTGGTGCTGACTGTCACATTTTACAATTTTGTGGACCCAAGATTAAACCCTGCCCTGAACCTTCCATTCTGTTTATATAGATAAACCACAACACACATAACACTTTGGGGCTTCTTAGTTGGTTTAGCAACTGAACGAATTTCAGTGTCCAAAATATCACTGAGCGACGCCGCAAGCATCTTCGACTGTTTGTCTCTCATCTGCCTCGGCGGTTCTCGATTTGGACGCCCTACCGCGAGATCACAGGATTGGCCAAGCGCCAAGCATAAAACAAGTCGGCTATTTCTTGGGTCCACTCCCCTCCTCTCAGGACTCTCCCCATTTTCGTTGGTTCATCCTATTGATGTTTGTTGGTGCCACGGATATCTCCATATATCCCCATATTTCATGATGTTTCTTTAGCCCAGGGGTCAACATTGATGCGAGCTCAGCATTGTCTCTAAGTCTCTTTTAGTTGATGACTATCCTCAGTGTCATGACATGCCATGCTGGCTTTCGTTGGTTGATGGTGAAATGGCAACTAAAACCACCTCAAAAACCATACTAAGCCATCATAAGCCACATGATAAACCACGCTATAAACCACACTATAAGGCCACATTCATCCACAGTGTAAGAACGTTGATCATTACTAAATTAACTGGCAGATGATTCACATACCCATAGGATCCATGGTGCTGGTATATATGCTAACATGACTGGGGTATATTGATGGGATCAATGTTACCATTTATAGCAGCACCATGGATCCGTCATGGGATATTGGAAAAGCACCACAAAGCCTGCCGTGCTGAGACCCTGCTGTGACATCGTTGAGGCCCCCCTCTGAAAATAGGCCGCGCGATCCGCTTCTTGCTTCTCCAGCATCTCCTGGTGCATCAAACGGGTCTGAAGATTGGGCACTCTATGTTGATCTACGTTAAATGGTACAAGTAGGTACAAGTATAATATTGATGTATCATAAAAAAAAATCTATAATGCTTACTTACGGATATTGTATATTGAATACTTATATCATCTTCATGATATCGGTAAAATGGATTAAAATTGTACTATTAATGGAGGCACTGATGATCACCCAAAACCACAGTAGATAATTCTTTGTCCTAGTCCGAAAGCCATACTCAGGACTCATTCGAGGGAACCCAGAATGCAAAGAATACACCAAAATCCTCCGAAAAGGGCGAACAAAAACAGCCTTGGACTGGCAAACAGCAAGTTCAAACATGTTCTTGAAGAACATCTAAACCGTTCATTGATGTCAACCTTTAACTCGAGGTCGAGAAGCAGAGAGAAACAACACTTTCGAATCGTGGCTGTGTAGTCCTTTCTGTTGTTGGTGACATTCCATATTTGTGTCTCAACAATGCAAATATATACCATTATATACCCATAAAATATTCAATTTGAACAATTATTTGAACCATTTGAAGCAGCAAAATGAGGCCTTCAATCCTGGGATTGGATGATTTGGTTTTTTTTTCCCCCGAGAATTTCACCGTTCATCCCACGACCCCGATTCTAAGTGGTGAATAACTCCCCGACTCGTCCCCGACTCGTAACGTGGGCTGATCCCAAAGGGTAACTGGATGAAAAACCCTCTGGTTATGACTAACATACAATGTGAGGCCCCCCAGTGATGTTAGTTGGTTTAGATTCGCCCCAGTAACTAGTTCGTTATAAGATGTTATAAGTAGCATAAACCATAGTTCTTGGAGTTATGTGCACCAACTGAACGCTATCTTGGGGGCCTCACATTGTAGCCATGGTAGTTCGTTGGCCCTAATCGAAATAGATGATTTTCCTAGCGAACTAAACCTCCATTTATGTTGGGGATTTTCCATGGCTATGTTAGTCATAACCAGAGGGTAACTATGATGAACGAGTTTTTTCTACCAAGTGGGATCATTCTGCACTGAAAATGAGGACATCATCCATAGAAGCGGTTCCTTGAAGCCGTAAAAACATCTTTACCATCTGGTTACGACTAACAGTTTGCCATGGAAAGATCCACCATGCTATTAAGTTCGGTAAACCATCTATTTCGAGAAATGGGCCATCTATTTTCCATGGCAAACTGTTAAATAACCAGAGGGTAAATCAACGGTTTAACGCAAAGAAATTCCGTTGGATCTCCATGGTGAAACCATGGCATCAGAGCTGCCAGAGTCTGCCAGATCCACCTGTTGTCTCTGCGCCAGGAGCATGTCTCTCTTAAACTGGCGCCAGGGACATGGGATGCCATGTGGCTGTGTCTGAAACATGGTCCCAAAGAAGTTTACATCTACTAAAACCATGGGTTTCTAGGGGGTGTTGGAAAAATGAGGTGGAAGGGATTCTATGGCATCACGAAAAAATAGACGAACATGAGGATAAACGGATTTTGGGGTGGTTTTACCCAAAATATTCAGACACACCCGTGTCCCGGTACAAGGATCTGTGGTAAACTACCCAACTGAACTTTTTGGCAGAGGAAAAAATCGAAAAGCGAAGAGGCGAAGCTCGGAATCTGATTGGAAAGAACATCCCAAATGGACCATGAAAATAGAAATGTACCCTCTGGTTATTTAACATAGCCATGGAAAATCCCTTATAAATGGAGGTTTTAATGGGAAATTCATCTATAAATGGGCTATTTTCCATGGCTATGTTAAATAACCAGAGATAACCAGAGGGCAATAGGGATTTCATGGGCTCTAATATATAATTGGAGATACAGTGGGGATATACTTATACTGCTGATACTGTGGATGGTTGCGAAATCCTGCACCAGGCAGGGTAGATGGTAAACGTCCCGCTATAATCCCATCATTTCCAGTGTTTCGTAGTATTTCAATGTATTTCAGAGTTACCAATAGTTACAGTACCAACTGGTGCAGGGTTTCGCAACCATCCACGGGAAAAAAACGCAAAATTCTTACATGATATTCCCCGTTGCTGGTTCCCCAATATTTAACCATCACCCTGTTCTCCAGCTGCCGTCCCCTTTTCTCCGATGGGCTGACAATCTGCCATCACCCCGACCGGCCGAAGCTGAATTTGGACGAAGAAAAAAACTGCGACAAATCGAGGCTCCAAAAGTCTGAAAGTCACCATGGCCAGGATCAAAAAACACCAGCCGAATGAGATCACCCAAACGACATATACTTTAAATGTCACAAATCATGACCATGAAGGAAAGTTATGATAGTAAATTTTAAATATGTGTTTATGGCCAGGATCACAAAAATAGGCTTGTCGTACTAGACTCAGGGCACCATCGGATCTTACCAGGATCAACATTGCAGATCAACTAATCCCTTCATCCTATTACGAACCCCTCCCCCAAATACTAAAAACTACGGCCCGCGTGAAATTTTGGGACATTTGCGACTGGCCAATTTGATGTTTAATTGATTCCATTTAAAAAACAATTCAAAGATGAAGGGCCCATTTGTGGTATTAGGGTCCGTCTTTTAAGATCGAAAAAAATGTCTTTTTTAATATTAATGTTTTTTATTTGATATTAGGGGAAAGCTTCGACAGCATTTTTTTTTGGCAATATTGTAATTAGGTTTTAAAAGAATGTTTAATCGATTTTGTTTGTTGTTTTTTAATATTAAGGTGTTTAATTTAGTATTAGGGGAAAGCTTCGAAATCAATTTTTTGGCAATATTGTAATTAGGTTTTAAAAGGAATTCTAATCGATTTTGAAATATACTTTTTTAGTTTTTTATATTAAGGTTTTTAATCTAATATTAGGGGAAAGCTTCGAAATCACAATTTTGGCAATATCTTAATTAGGCTTTAAAGGAAATCCAATCGATTTTGAAATAGACTTTTTTAGTTTTTTATATTAAGGTTTCTAATTTAATATTAGGGGAAAGCTTCGAAATCATTTTTTTGCAATATTTTAATTAGGTTTTAAACGGAAATTTAATCGATTTTGAAATAGAAAAAAACATGTATTAAGGGGCGTTTAATTTAATACTAGGGGAAAGCTTCGCGCCCTAATACTAAATATCCCCTAATACAAAAAACTACTGCACGTGTTTATTATTCAGGGGGAGGGGGAGGCGGCGTTTCGTATTAGGATGAAGAGACTAGCAAATGGTATCAACTAGATCCTTGTCAACGATCTCCGACCATGAAGTGTCTGGGGATATCCCTTTTACATCCTTTACTAAACCATCCAATCTCCCCAAATTATATCCCCACCTTTACCGATGAAATGCAGACTTCATGAAGGGCATGAACCTGGCTGTAGAAATTCTGTCCTACTCCATACCATTCACCCAGCTTTGTCCAGTTTATATTGGTTAAATATGGTTAAATCCTATATCAGCCAGTCAGTTAGATGACATGGATTTTCATGGTTGACTCGCTGCTCAAATCCAAATATTTGTTGCTTGAATCCATTTCTTCTCAAAGTCAGCACGGCGCTGAGATTCTTTGCAGCGCATGGCCGGGCGGCCCATAATCATAAGGCCCCTAAGAAGCAGTGCCACCGTGATGCTTGGCCGCTAGGCGATGAGGTCATCAAATGCATGGGGACACCATGGCTCCCAGCTATGGATTGGGTTATGAACCTATCCAACTGTACAGCAAGCATACAATTACAATCAGATACATTTCCTATTTAGGTGGCATCTTTTGGTAGCATTTTCAATACCACTTTCTAGTTGAAGACCTCAAGATGAACAAATCCAAATTCCAACCAGGGTTTTCTGGGCGGGATATGATTGCGGGAATTCTTTTGTGCATACAACTAGTTTATCTGATATCAACCGTTTAACGTTGACTGATGTCAGCATTTCAGGGCTATGTCCCCATCTTGGCACCTACCCTCTGGTAATTTAACATAGCGAACTGGAAAATCACCATTTTTAATGGGTAAATCCACTATTTCTTTGGCCATTTTCAATAGCTTTTTGTAGGTTTACCAGAGGGTATCACTAGGTTTTTCATCGAATTCACCCAGCGGTGTGTTTTTTAGGTGCCGATTTTAGGCTTGTTCCTTGCAGATGATCCAGCCTGACCTGAGCCAACCATTTTTCGACATGGGGTCCCCATATGCGAACCATGGTGCTGGTATATTTATAGCAAATGGATAATTTTTATGGCAAATGTTGGGATGCTTTTTATGGTTTTACCATGTTTTTATGGCAAAAATCTCATATGTCCCCACAAAACTGGATGATTTTTCTGGCAAATGTTGGGATTCATATTCCAGCACCATGGTGAAGCCATATGGGATCGCAACTGCTGTCAGCAGACTTCGGTCATTTGTAGCCGCGTGTGGGATCCGTGGATTCCGTCGCATCCGAGTCCTGGTGGCGACGGTGGGACGGTACCAAGAAAGCGAAAGGACCACGATGGTAGACCTGAAAAATATCATGAAATATCCATGGTACACTTTATCCTCATATGTTTTGTTCATCAATTATCATGATTTAAGTCATGATTTTAAGCCAGAATACCTCAGAATATCTCAGAATCCACAGCTAGATTTTTATCATGAAATATCTCATGTTTCCAGTATAGTTTGTTATAAAGATGTGACACTGAGACACGATCCCCTTCATGAAAGTGGCAAGGGCCCAGTAACCTCAGTAACCTACCCATTCACCAGTTCCGTTACCTATCGGACTTGGGCCGAATGTCAACCCCGGATTGATAACCCCTGGGCTGTTCAATTCAATAGGTTATGTACCCACAATATCCCCCAAAATTTACTATAAAAAATTGGTGTACCCACAATATCCTCCAAATTTTTTAAAAAAATGGTGTACCCACAATATCCTCCAACATTTACTATATACCCACAATTCAGGTTTTTCTCCACTTACTATAAACAAATGGGTACCCCCTGCCCATTAATCAACTGGGGGTTCGCCCTCAAATCAGCGACTGACTCCCATCCTGTTGGTTTGCTATTGGCTATGCAACTATTGGATGTGACTTAAAATCAGTCATGGTCCATGGTTGGTTACTGGGATGGTTGATCTCATTTGCTTCAGGGCTTGGTAAATGTCCAAAAAGGTTTCACATAAATCACCCAACTATTGGGGATATACAACAGATACAATCTCCAACAGATACTTCAGATACTTGAACATCTCCAAAATATTTCATTTTTTCTGTTGGAAAAACTCCATTTATATATCCCATTTTCTGTCCCATCTCAATTTCAGATGTGATATGATATTCAAAATCTCCAAGCCATGGGACATTGACCCATTGACCAAGCCCTGTGGTTTACTGGGCCCTCTGGGCCCAACGGGAGCTCCTTGGTGTACTGGCTGACACCCTGGACATTGCTTCAAGGGAAAAACTCCTGGGACTTAGGTTGTTTTTTCCCAGGAAAACAGATGGCTTCCTCTTGTTTCTTTTTTTTTACTTGGCAATGTTGGATTTGAAGCCACACAACTCTGACTCCACCAGCCAAATTCAAGATCTTCACCCACAAAACTGTGAAATTTAGAGTAAAATTGGCCCGAATGGACTGCCAACAAGACAAGGATGTGACAACGCATCATGCTTGTTGATTGGGTAGTGAGAATCCAACCGATCAAGAATGGAGGCTGTCCAGCAACCATGTGGTCATTTCGCCGAGAAAAATGTGGCTACCCTCCAGTAGACCTATGGAAAATCACCCCTTTTTAATGGGTAAATCATCGAACTGAATGGGCCATGGCTTCGCTATGTTAAATGAGCCCAGAGTCCTTGGGGGTGCATCCCACTTAGTGGGTGAGAAACCCTCAGTTATATCTCCACTTCTGGCATTACATGGGTTATATATGGATGATAAGCCACGGAGGCCTGTGTGGGATTTCCCCAATTTTCGCCACACAAAGCAGGGATGTTGTTGGGTGTTTTTTGTTTTTGGAGCGGCAATCTAAAAACATCCTGGACAAGAATATTTTCCATAATATTGGTGTATGTTATTATAATCGGAACTTAGGAACCTCCCTCGCAGATGCCCAAACAACAGCTTCAAGGTGTCACAAACTCTTGGTAGAATCTCACTTTTCGGCGGCGCCAAACAGCCGGATTGGCCACACAAAAAGCCCCACAGTTGTTTGGCCAGTAGCAGCTATAAATGGGATAAAATATCTCCTGTAACTAAGGTTATTATATGTTATTGTACATGTATATCACGTAAATGAGGTTATAAGATGTTATAAGCCAGTTATAACTGTTACTTGGTGGCTCATCCCACTTACTAAGTAGCTTCTATCCCTTGTTTTTTCAGTGCGAGAAGTAGGCTTAATCCACTTATAAATGGGGGTCACAACCTACTTACATCTTACTAAGTGGGATCAACCACCAAGTAAGAGCCATAACCATCCATACCCTCTGGTAAACGTTTACATAACTATGGAAAACCACCACCATGCTATTCATGGGTATATCAACTATTTCTATGGCCATTTTTCATAGCTTTTTGTATGTTTACCAGAGGGTAACCCCCATTGTGAACGCGCAGGGCACCTCCATGTGCTTCAAAAACACCGCAGGATTGTCCTTCGACAAGATTCGCTTCTCCGCCTGATTTGGTTTCACCCTGAGATTTAGAAAGTTCGGAATCCTGTTTTGTTCCGCTTAAATCAGGGAAACAATATGATTATTGGTCGGCTATTGCATATTATGTGTATATATATATATATGTATATATATATATATGTATATATATGTATATATATATATGTATATATATAATATATATATGTGTACATATACATATCTCATCATATATATATATATATCATATTTTTTCTTGGTCATACTATTAAACCCTGAGGCTATGTACAATATGTATCAGTTTTCGTCCTGCCCAGTTCTGGATGAAGTCCCGTCGTGCAGATCAGCGGCCGCCAAATCTAATCTCATCTGCTTGGAAAGGCAGAAAATGCCTGACGTTCCACTGTTCCACCCTCCATTCTTGTGGGGGGATTTCACCAACACTCACCAAATCTTACTGTGAATTGATGGTGATTAATGGTGATTCAACCAACACAAATGATAATATAGTGGAGGTATAATGGGATATCACGATGATATTGGAGGGATTTAACTCTTGTAAACCACATAACATACCCTCCGGTAAACGTTCACATAACTATGGAAAATCACCATGTTCAATGGGTAAATCCACTATTTCTATGGCCATTTTCAATAGCTTTTTGTAGGTTCACCAGGCCGGGTAGGTTTCTCCGATTTGTTCAGGGGGAAATCCGCAAGAAAATCCCCCAAATCGGTGGAAAAACGCGCGGGACCTGTGAGACACAAAGGACCTGGCATGGTACTGGGGGATGGTGCAAATGGCATGGGGAATTACCCACTTTAAACACTGTTTAATTAAACACATCTGTATAATCTTCTATAATATAATATTATATATATATATTATGATATATTATATATATATAACATATATATATAATATATCACATATATACATATATATATACATATATATATAATATATTAATATATTATATCTTCTAGAATATTTCTGGCTATTCAAACCACATGTCTCCATTAAAACCCGTGTGGCTAATGGCTATCCCCTGGCTCTCACAGCCCTGGACCTGTGTAGCTTTCGCCATCCAGAAACGATAACGAACTGGAGATGCGCTCAGCAATGCGGCGGTCGATCTGCAGGGCCATCCCAGCAGTTTTGGGTCATGTTGACTTTTATGGATGAATTGTATGGAAAATCAATGGTTAATGATGGTTACCATCTGTTTTAATGGAAAATCAATGGTTTATAATGATTAATGATGGATTGACTGAACGATATTAATGGGATATGAATAATATGGGATAATGTATTGGGATATTAATAATATTCATGAGATCTGTACAGGAACACTACCAATAGGAATATTCATATCTAGTAATTTTCATGTTAGGCAACATAATGTGATATTGTATTGGGATATTAATGGGATATGAACAGGAAATATGTTGTCAACACTCTTTCACTCTGTTTTTTTTTCAGTGTCTCAAACAAAAAAGTCAACATCATTAGCCTCTGGTAAACGTTTACAAAAAACTATGGTTAAAATCACCAAATCACCATTTTTAATGGGAAAACTCACTATTTCTATAACATAACTATGGAACATCACCATTTTTTAATGGGAAAACTCACTATTTCTATGGCCATTATTTGGTTGAGTTCGAGATGCCTCTCAAATTTCGTGGTGATTGCATGGTGCCAGATGCTTCACTATAAATGGCTCATCCTTCTTGGAAACAGATGAATGACCCTGGTTCATAATTCTCCAACTGCATTACTATGGTTTAATATGGTTTAATATGGTTTAATATGGTTTAATATGGTTTAATATTGTTTAATATGGTTTAATATGGTTTAATGATGGGATGATTTGCTGGGATAATGATGGGATAATACTGGGATATTTATGGATATACCATCTGGTTGTGACTAACAGTTTGCCATGGAAAGATCCATCATTTTCAATAGGTAAACCATCTATAAATGGGTCATTTTCCATGGCTATGTCAATGTTAAATAACCAGAGGGTATATCAATTTCTCTCATGTATAACTAGACTAGAAAGTAGAAACCGAAACGGAAAACCCTCCATTTGATGAAATTAGCTCTTCAGAATGCAGATGTTCCACTGCCAATTTAGATAAAAAATGCTTACGGGGATACATCCAGCGGTCCATCTGGCGAGCCATGATTGGTTCATAGCTCTCCTTACTGGTTTTGACACTCCACAACCAACTAGGTAGGTTAATTCCCCGAAAAGAAGCCATCAACCATCCATCAACTTGTACAATATCCTTAGAACCCCCCGTTCAACCGGTCAAAACCCCAATTTCAACTGGTCAAAATGGTCAAAACCCACCCATAGTTGGTGCTTGAATCCGCATATAATCAACCATCAATCAACCGTTCAGCAACGATCAATCAACCATCATTTATCAAATGTATCTCTTTATCCCAATTCTTAATGCTTAAAACCCCTTAATCCACGATGGTTCATCATGTGAAAAAATTATCCAGCCGCTCCCATCTTTCATAGTTTTTTCAAAACTCCAAACACCTTCAAAAAAACCTGGTGAAATCCCAGTGAAAGATACTAAAATCACATCAATAATATATAACAATCCCATCTTTCCACAGCTGTTCTTTTCATGGCAACGGTTCGGCGCCTCCTCAGGTGTCACAGAAGCGGTGCTCGGATTGCTGTGGCCAATCACGAAGCCCCACCTGGGTCTGACCAACAAGAAAGATATTCTGAATATATTATTAATAATGGTTAATGGTTCTTAATAGTTATTAATGGTTGATGGTTATTAATGGTTATTAATGGTTATTAATGGTTATTAATGGTTATTAATGGTTATTAATGGTGGTTAGTGGCTAGTTAATGGTTATTACAACAATGAGTAATGTGGGGAAAAAAACAATGTAATGTGGAATATGAAATTTATTTACATAAACCACCCATGTTTAAATTTAGATAATGTGGGAAATGCAATGTCATAAACCACCCAATTGGGAATGGTAACCATACCACCTATTGATGTAGAAACTTATCTTATGTAGATATATTAAAAATAAAATCGGTTACGCTCAATATCATACTGTTTAGAATATCATGATATGTTAGCAGATTTATGTGGATATTCTAAAGTAAGATCTGTTACACATGATATTCAAATAGATACTGTACTATTTTTTAACACAATCTTCAACAACTTATCAAAACCAGCAATGAATCGTTTCTTTGTGTTTCCAAAACGAACTGCTGCTTTCGCTGGATCAACGTATTGCATCTCTCTTTGGGCAATGCGATCAACCACAACAGGGGCTATGAAATTCACCATTCCAAGTAGAGGTAGACCCTCATCACAAAAACTGGGCACAGGTGGCATCGTGGCATGGTGACATTGAAAGGGATGTGAGGTTGAAAACATCAGCACAAATCTCCCAGCAATCACAAAGGCGCTCATCGGCAAAGGAATAGACAGCTTCTTTGTAGGCCCTCGCTGCAGGAAACACCTGCTCAAATTTTGCCGGTCACGGCCACTTCCATTGGGAAACTTATGCTCAACAAGTAACATTTTTGGGGGTGTCCAACAGTTCATTTTCAGGGATGGTGAAACTTTGACATGGATTTGTTCAACGCTTCATCAACTGGTTCTTCATCAGCTCATAATCATAATCATCTTCCTCATCATCAACAGTCTCCTCATGTTTTAATCGTTTGAAACTAGGGTCAATGGATTGGTTTTCGGGAAAAGTAAAACCGGCTTTACCCCAGAATTCATGGGAAATAAAGACGAAGAAAACATCTGAGAAACCAGCAGCTTTCCGGTGAAGATGTTCCCCAAAAAATCAATGGATCCTCAGCACCTAATCCTCCAGCCCACTACCTGCTTCAAGGTATTAAGCACAGGCGACAGCACTGCCTGGCGTTGAGACAGATATGGGTTATAAAACCAATAATGGTTTGGGATGTGTATATAATATATATAATATATAAATAAATAAATGAATAAATAAATGTGGGATATAATGATATAATGGTGATGTATAACACTTTATAACCCTTATCATTATCATATTTCTTTCTCTGAACATGGAATAGAATGGTAATCTTTTAAAGTGGTCTCTAAACACCATTGACCATAGATATATCTACCGTAAGCCAAGGTTTTCTTCAAGGCACAAGTGCATCAACTTAGCGGCCTGGTTTGGGGGCCTCACCCTCTGGTTATGACTAACATAGCCATGGGAAATGGCCCATAGAAATAGATGGTTTACTGTACCTATTAAAAATTGTGATTTATAGATGGTTTACCTAAACACCCCCAATCCATGGGAATTCCAGGATCCTAAATTGGAGGTACGTAAACGTACCATATTTTGGGCCATATGAATTGTAGGGATATTCCCTTACATAAGCCTGAAAAATAGGCCTTATATATGGGATTGGTACCTCCAATTTAGGTTCCTGAAATGGCCATTGAGATAATGGTGTTTTTTTGGGGGGGATATAGTGGGATACATAACCAATAATATGATACAATGGTGGTGTGTGATTCACACATGATTCGTTCGGGATCAAAGATTGTGATTTGCCATTGAAATTCGACTGGCGCAAATTCAACAGAACAAGGCCCAAGGCTTTGTCCATCCTGGTTGACATTATTAGACAGTTTCAAACTGGTATCCAACTTATTCCTATAAATTTGTTTCAGCATGGCACTGATGATACCCTGCTACCCTGGTTGTTGAACGTCCTAGTCGAACGTCATCGCAGCCAGAATATGAGGGTTACACGCATCAAAACATCCCAATGTAAGGGGGTATGTTACTTTCCCACAATGTCACAGGATTACTTGGAGGATCATCCCACTTAGTGGTTTAACCCCTATAATCCCCTATAATCCCAGATGGTGTGTGGAGATCTTCCAAAATTCATTGGGTTTTTAAAAACCCATTGACCAAGTGGGAAACGTTACGAAACGAATCTCGCCGCTGGACACAACGAATCTCGCCTTGTACATCTTCACACCGGCTCCACTGGCCTTGGCCCAGAAATTTTCACAAACAGTTTCGACCTTTGAAATGGCCATTTTGGGACGATGATAATATGTAAACCATTGGAATTGGGGAAAAAAAACAATGTTTTGATTTAGTGAGTTAGTGCCTCTCGGAAAATCACTTAAAATTCTAGTAAATCTCCAGTAAATCATAGTTACTTGCACTATAAATGAGTAGAGATTGATTGGAAAACAACATATTTATTCACTGAAAACGATATGACATCAATTACATAATACGAATCTGTTGTTTTCTCTTGGTTGATGAGTCATTGACTTTGTCAGTCATTGACCAATGACTGCTAAAGCAACAAAGAACAGAAGAAACACTGTCAGTTGGGAATTGTTTGACTGTGGGTAGAAAAGGTGACAACATCCGCAAGGCAAACTCTTGCAATGTCGAATCTTTGGCTACCACATCTTGAGCGACCCAATCACCAAATCACACTACGGGTACAGTACTGGTCATATGGATTTGTCAGCAACCTATGAAACTCAGCATCAAATTGTTGGCCCAAAACATCTGATGAAATATCCCCTCGGATCTCCCCACCCAAATTGGGCAAAAATCACGGTACCCTCTGGTAAACATACAAAAAGCTATTGAAAATGGCCATTTATAGTGGATTTTCCCATTAAAAATGGTGATTTTCCATAGTTATGTTTGTTTTGCCAGCGGGTAAATCCTCCAATTTTGGGAGAAGTTCCCCAACTCAAAATTGGATCACCAAAGGTTGGACGAATCCAAGCCAAACCCAGCCGCCTGCGTGACCAAAATACCATCCGGATTCAGCTTGGTTTTGCACATCTCGTAGAATTCCTGCGAGATCCAAATGATCCAAAGATACTGAAGGGCTTCTGTTGGTGTTATGATAGGGGAAGGGATTAAAAAAAACGTCCACTTTTGGATGTCCGGGAAAATGTTCGGTGGAAGTCTACCAGCATTCAGAAGTAGAGAACAAACTCTGGAATCAGAGGCTAAAGACATCATGAGTAGCTGGATATTCGCACGTGGCCGGCCACAAGGTCGTGCCGGTTTCATCCAGAAACATCTCCATGTCTTGTTGCCTAAATCCCAACTTTTGACCCAATAAGTCACAATCCTCCCAAGTCGATTTACCATGATTGTATCCATTAAAAAATCACCTTGTTGTTACCTTTTGATAGTTACTTATTTTGGGGTGTTGGGATGAGTTACTTATGATATTTTTGGGCTTTTGTGATCATTCATCACTCACTCACTCCAAAACCTCCTTCATGTGGGGGTGCCCAAAATCATCCAAGTCATTGGACCAAACATGTTCATACTGAAACAACCATGGTGACTTGGGATTTCCCATTCTAAGAAACATCCAAATAGTCACATTTTAGGACTAAGAAAAATCTATGGACCTATGTGGCAATCCGGAAAACCCAATAATAAACCATCCCATTTTTAGAACCCCCAACATTAACATTGTCCCCATCGTTTGCAACGTATCTAAAGATTATGGATTTTTCAGCCAAGTAGTGCGGTCTGATCACAGGTCATGGACCCCCGACCCATAGGTGTGACTGGCCATGTAAACAACGCAGCAGCTAGTGGAAATGTCGATGGTTCTTCCAAGTAGTATAGCTCCCCCCCCAAAAAAAAACAATCAGGAGCTTTCCGAAAAAGTCATGGGAGGTTTCCATCATTTCCAACGACTTTTCGTATCAACGGTGGTTTTTTGGGGATCTGGGATCCCCGATGGAACACCTTGCAGTAGAGCCAGTAGCATGGCCCACCCTCCAAGGGATCGTCCAGGTCCATGATGATCACCTGGAGATTGTTTTGGATACGAAAAAATCAACAACCTACAGTATATATAGAGCATTCTAAGATTTCTATAACATATATATATATATATGTGATTATATATATTATTATTATATGTAGATGTATACATATATATATAGAAATAGTGGACGTGTGAATGCAACCAACTATTCAATTCTATGGGTTGAAAACCCCTGTATTTTTGCTGAAGAACACATATTAGTCGGTAAATTCCCTGTTTTGTATGGATTCGTTTGACAATGAGCATCTTTTCTGCTAAACTGGCGATTTGGAAACCATATTTTGCACCACTTAACTGTCCTTTCTACCTTGTATACCCTCCAGTAATCATCAAACATGGCTTGCTAAAAAATCCACGATCTATAGATGCTATGTTCCCAGCGAACTAAACTGCCATTTATTCTGGTTCTCCTTCAAGTTCCTTTAATTTGAAAATCTATCTGGGTAAACTCTATTATTTTTCACTAACCTGAATTGTTCGGCCATCAAAGGGGATGATTTCCCTAACATAAAAACCATGATTTCCAGGCTTCGGGAGGGTTCGGTCGTTGTGGTTTACCCAGATCTACAGCAACACAGCTCCATCAAACGAGAAATCGGGACCGAGGTGCATCAAACTTCTCCTAGGCCACGGGAAAAGGCCATGGGTGGAGGTTTTTTAATAGGAAAACCATCGGCAAACGATGGGAAAAGATGAGGAAATATGGGAAAAACCAATGTAAATGGATGTGTATTTATAGGCTGGGAAAATCAACCAACCAAATGGTGAATGTTTAATTGCTATGTTTGAGTACAGGAGGAAATTGGATGCGATATGATTTCAATAGATAAATATGAATGGGATATAACTAAAACTCAAAATATAACTAAATATAACTAAATATAATATATATATATAACTCACAAACTGATGTTTCTTTTGCTCGCCGTCTAGTGGGGAATTGTGGTCCCAATTCATCAAGGATGGGAACCCCTCTTCGTGGCAGTTTTAAGAATGTCACTGACCCTTTGGTAATTTGTTACATAACTATGGAAAATGGCCATTTATAGTGGATTCACCCATTAAAAAGTGTGATTTTCCATAGTTATGTTAGTTTTTACCAGAGGGTAAATGCATCCCAAAAGGGAATCGGAACTTGGTGCCACTGAAATTGATGCTTCCCCCAGCACCTATGATGGGTAAGATCGTTTGAGGCGTCGGCAAGGCTGAATCTGTCTGATGATTTCAGGAATCGGACTCTACGAATGACCCTGCAAAGAAGTCGCAGCCTGGGATTCAACTGGATACAATGGGGATTTGATATGGGCACCATGGTGCGGCACCAATTCTACAAGTCATAGGATGTTTCAAAACATGGCTAATCTTAGATGTCCAACAACTCTTTTTCCAGATGGTTAGGATATCCCCATGTTTTGTTGGTGAGACCTCGTTGATGCTGCATGGGAACCCCCTTTCCTCCCAGGTGTTCGAACCAGTTACTAGTATATGTTATATATTAGGGTATATTGGAGTCAGGTTATAGATCCTATCATGATTCTATCATATCCCCATCAAATTGTTGGTTTTATACGCGTAAATCATCCAATTAAACCAAATCATATTTTATCAATTGTTGTTTCTCAACTATTGCCAATCTTAAATAGCAGTGTGTCAAAACCTTGTACCCCTGGTGAACATCAAAATAGCTGGTAAATGGATGTTCATCCCACTAAAAACGGTATTAATGGGTATTGATCCATACCCAAATATCCTATTTAAACACGTGTTTCCAACCCCACGGCACCTGCACGGCCATCGGCCCCCATCGCGTGGCCCTCGTTTCAAGGCTCTGTGGCCTGTTCCAGTTGCACCTTGCAGTCATCGATGATGAGATCCAGCCGGGGATCTGCGAAGGCTTCGCTGTTGGCCGGCAGGTGTGCCTGCGCTGCGCCAGCGCCACGGAGACGTAGGGATCGTGGGGAGTGGAACCCCATGGAACCCCAAAAAAAAAGAAATGAGGCCAAGAAGATTGTGGTTTTGCGTTTTGCGAGACATTCAAGACATTTTTTCCAATTCACTTCAGCAAAACACAAGTTCGATAGCTAAATAGTTAGATAGTTCATGGCTAGTACCCTCTACTTATTCAACATAGCCATGTAAAATGGCATTATTTAATGCGTAAATCGCCAAATGGATCATGTTCCATGGCACACTGCAAAAAACCAGGCCGGGTAGCTCTTTCCGAACATCCACTCATCAAAAATCCTCAATCCTCTAATTGATTACCCTCTGGTAAACTTACAAAAAGCTATTGAAAATGGCCATAGAAATAGTGGATTTACCCATTAATATCGGTAGCATGGTGATTTTCCATAGTTATGTAAACGTTTTCCAGAGGGTAGGTGTTAAAACCCATAATTAATGTTTATGAGCGGATTGAGATGATTGAGGATTTTTTTTGTGGGTGAAAAACAAAAAATTGATTGGTTTCACCATCAATTGGTTTTCACCATCAACATTAGGTGTTAAAACACAACATCAATTGGTTTTAAAAATGCCCATCATTAAAACACAACATCAACGATGGTGTGCCCCATGGCACTTACCCTCTGGTAATTTAACATAACTATGGAAAATCACCATTTATAGTGGATTTTCCCATTAAAAAAAAGAGTGATTTTCCATAGTTATGTTAAATTACCAGAGGGTACTTACGTGCTGCCGGCCTTGCAAAAGTCCACGACATCTCCATCGATGTCCACCATGACCTAATGGCCGTCGATGGGTGACCATTGGATCTAGCCTAAGTTATGGATAGAAAACATCATGGTACATCGAAATATACTAGATGTACAATGGGTAAATGATGATGTCCATCTACTTTAGTATCACTATTCATCATCATTTACCTATATATATATGTATATGCATCATGTATCTGTATAATGATTTACCTCGTCAGCATTTTCTCCAAAAAAGGGGGGTTCGGATCTGTTGGAACATCTGGAACGAGACATTGCACGTACCCTCTGGATCCCTCTGGTAAACTAACAGGTTGCGAAGTGGTAAATCACCATTTAGTCCACGAAGCAAATGGGCCACGTTCCATAGCTATGTGAACTTACCGGTATTCAGCAGGATCTTCTCCATCAAATTCCAAGGTAGACGAGAGGATTCCTCTATTTCAACATGTATTTCAACACAAAAAAATCCAGGCGGCTTTCGACAGTTTTTTCAATTTTTTCCCACATCAATATGTATTTAAAAAACATAACTAGTTGTTTCTGGTTTTCCACATCACTATGTATTTATTTAAAAAAAAAAACATAAATCAAAATTAATCATTTCTCACCAAATGGACCATCGTTTCTGGCTCCCACGCTTTTTTTCCACGCCATGCCACGCATTTCTCCACGGATTTGTGTCTCAAGACCTCTCGAGCGGTGCTTCCTTCACCCCCTCCACCTGAAATTCCGACTGGTCAAAGATGGTCAGGGAAAGAGAAAGATTGAGACTAAACATAATATAAAAACTGGGTTAATGATTAATGGTTAGTAATGGTTAATAATGGTTAATGATGGTTAATGATTATTGAATGATGGTTAATGATGGTTAATGATGGTTAATGATTATTGAATGATGGTTAATAATGGTTAATGATTGTTAATGATGGTTAATGATTATTGAATGATGGTTAATGATTATTGAATGATGGTTAATCATGGTTAATGATGGTTAATGATGGTTAATGATTATTGAATGATGGTTAATGATTATTGAATGATGGTTAATCATGGTTAATGATGGTTAATGATTATCGAATGATGGTTAATCATGGTTAATGATGGTTAATGACGATGCATTTCATGATTATCAATGGTTATAGACTAAACATATTTAGACATATCTTGGGAATTTAAAGGATGAGAAACCAAACTGGGAATCACCCCTTAATTAATGGGAAATGCATGAGATTTTATGGTATGGCCTATGGTGATGGTGGTTAATGATTATTTAATGATTATTTATGTTGATCAATGGTTATTACTGGTGGTTAATGGCTAGTTAATGCTTATTACAATAATGACTAATGTGAGTAAAACAATGATAAACCATCCCCCAAATCACCCCAAATGGATGGTTTCAGGGATTGTAACTCCGAACCTTGCCGCTCTGAAATGGAGATGTTGAGCACATCAATACAGAAAGAGGACACATTAGCCTGAACATCACCGGAAACTTACGGTTTTCCTGCCAAACGCTCATATGAATCTTGTTATGTATATATATATGTATACATATACATGTATATATATATAGATATTGTATATATATTTATATTTATATTTATATTTATATTTATGTTTATATATATATATATGTATATATATGTATGTATATATATATATGTATATATGTATATATATGTATATGTATATATATATATGTATATATATATGTATATATATATATATGTATATATGTATACATAATAATATACATTCATAATCATTCATATATAGTCTTTATATAGTGCAAACAAACAACCTTTGCTTGGTTTTAGCAACTGCTGGGCACTGAAAAAGTCGTCCACTTCATCCGAGTGGCCTATGAAGACCTTAGCATTTCCGCACGGTGCCGAGGGCACCAACCCTTGCTGACACTGGGTTTCAACTATCATATTTCTAGGATCTCTAGGGGTACCTCTCATTTTTCAGCGTTTGAATTCTAGGCTTTCTGATGTGTAGGTGGATCCTGAACCACAAATTCCTATGCAAAGTGGGAGTCTTCCACTATTTTTCAATCCAGATTCTATGGAAATCATTCCAATTCATTGGCAATGACAAGCTATCCCAACATCTTTCCAGCAGCAAGCGACCCCTTTAATCGTCCAGCTGAAATCAGAAATCAATAAACATCAACAAACCATAACAAACCAATGGTTTCCTGAGACTTCCCGAAGCTCATCCCCACACAGAAACCCAAGGTAAGCCCATCCTGTTGGTTTCTCAGCGTTTCAGGAATATTTTGTCGATCTTCCCAGATGGATCCATTTCGAAAATCAGAAAATTCGTCTCCAAAACTCACCAAACATGGCTAAGAAATTCCCGAACGAACGAAAAATGGACCCTTTGGGATGCGAACTGAGTGGAAAATCCCGGAACGACATCCGACCAATGGATGCTGGGTGTTCCATTTTTTTGAACCCCAACTTTTTGACCCCAAAAAAAAACGGACAAAAACCACAGCTCCACTTCCTTATCGAGGCAGATCCCAGGGACGCGTTTGGGGTTGGGATGCGCCAACATGGCCGGATGCACCAGGCATTCGTGGTAGATGAACTCGTCCAGCTCGCTGGACTGGACGGAGACGACGGAGACACATTCGGAGATTTTCCCCAGTTCGGTTCGTGGTGAATATGTGATTATATATAAATATATATGTTTATATCATGTTAATTCATGTTATATATCTTATTGGGGGTGCTATATCTTGTGATTCACTAGGATATTAGTGGCAGTGTGTCAAAACCTTGTACCCCTGTAGTTCACATCAAAATAGCTGGTAAATGGATGTTCATCCCACTAAAAATGGTATTAATAGATATTGATCCATACCCATATGTTTATATCATGTTATATATCTTATTGGGGGTGCCAAAAATCTTGTGATTCCAAGGTTTTTAAGAGACGTTTGATCCCTTTTTGGGGGGAGTTCGCTAATATCTTAATCGTACTCACGTCTTCAACTGATTTCAACTGATATTGTTGTTCAAACTGCTAGGGGAAATTTGGAGAAAATAGTGGGACATGAAGAAAATAGATCCCCAAAAGTACCTGGTTGGTGGTTTCAACCCCTCTGAAAAATATTAGTCAAATGGGAGTATATATTATTCCCAATATATGGAAAAAAATGTTCCAAACCACCAACCAGGGATTTATTGTACTGATTTTCTGCAGTGGTGCCTGGGATAGGGGGACATCTTCAACCATTGGTCCGCGGCCATTCTTGGGTGTGGACAAGGCTAAATCAGTCATGGATACTTGGTAAATATGGGAATCCATGCAGGACCTATGGGATATACATGGATAGAATCCATCAGGCAACATATGGGATATAGATGGATATAGGTGATTATACGATAAGGCATCAAGTTCTTCATCTAAAATCAACTTTCAGAGCTCCTGAGTATCTGAGTCAGCAATAACATGACTGGACACTTTGGTGTTTCTGCTGGATATTTTTTGGCACAGAAAAAGTGGACAACAGTGTCTATCAGACTCGAAAGTGATGGGAAAAAAAACTGAACTCATGCAAAACACCTATATTTCCTGATGATGTTCCATATCTTCTTCTATTTTCCACATCTTGTCCCATTCCCCCCAAAATCCTTGCCTGAAACTACAAGGCCTCAGCCATCCCGTTGGGGCGGCCTTAATTGTCATCAACAGGGCTGTTAAACAAGTAAAATCATGTAAAATCCCCATATCTATTGGTTACTGTTGGTTACTGTAATTACCACTCATCACCTATATAGGGTTAATCATAATCATCTGTATTACAGTACTGTTTTTTTTTCCGAATCACCTGTACCCTCTGGTAAACTACCAGTTTGCTATGGAAAATGTCCCATTGAAATAGATGGTTTACCTATTAAAAATGGTGATTTTCTATAGCTATGTGACAGTTTACCAGAGGCTAATTACTATAATTATCAACAAACAGACACCTACAATCATAAACAGGTAACATATCCTAAAATCCCCAATCTATTACTTACTGCTAAAATCCCCAATCTATTGCTTACTGCAATCTACTGTAATTGCCACTCATCAAGACAAATTTCACCTTTTTGATCATCAAACAACAGGGTTTTCACGAAACCCGGCCTGGATCAGTCCATCGATGATCAGAACTCGCCCGAAGGGCTCGGTGTCGCACACGTCCACCTGCAAACGGTCACGCCCCCAGGTGGCCTGGTAAAAACCATGCTTTGCGGTTAAGATTTTCCCTTAAACCCAGTCCACTGACAGGGGAAATTTTGTAATAGTGGTTAATTTAATGGTTAAAACTGTGATTCATAGTGGTTAAAATTGTGATTAATACCAGTCAATGGATTGGTTTAGTCGGGAAATTTTACAGGAACGCCCCTTTTTTTTTAATGGGACAATCAATCCGTTGAAATTGAGTTTGGTGTTGGTTTGTCTGGTCAGTCTGGTGTTTCTTCGCTGAAAGGTCAATCCTGGCCTGGGAAAACCGGACTTTGTGAAAACCTAAAGTTGGATGTGTAAAGAAATGCAGCTTTGAAATGTCAAGAAATCAACAAATGGCTGAGATCCTAATTCACATAATCTAATATAAAATATGTATATATAAATATGTAAAACCAAGTTTGAGATCCAAAAATCAACATAATATCAAATATATGTAAGATGCAGATTCTGTGATCAAGACTTTGAACTTTGGACAGGTGTGAGACCCTTGGACTTGCTCTACCAATGTGTTGGTGTTCTATTCCTTAGAGTAAACTAACATAACTTCGGAAAATCAGCATTTTTAAGTGGAAAATCACATTTTTTTTCTAGTGGTTAAATCAACTAGAAGTGGAGATTTAACCATAGCAAACTCTTCGTTTACCGAAGGCTACCCCCCCCCCGTTTTTGTTCCGATCAAAACCGTTTTTGCCTGCTGAAATTTCGACTGAGTGGATGCAAAGATCTTCTTGAGCCTGGAGCTTTGGCAAGGCAAGGCCTTTTGGGATATGAAGAATCTCAGGCTTATAAGATCAGAATTAGATTTTATTAGATGTTAATGATGATATTTAACAATTATATACGAAAGTAATCTCTTGGAGAGATTTTTAGGATCATCTTAAGACCATTTTTTATGAATCATAGAAACAAATAGTTCCTGAATTTGGTTTCTTGGAGGGATTTTGATGTTATCAGTCTAGCTGAGCAGGTTACCCCGAGCAATTTAACACAACTATGGAAAATCAGCATTCTTAACTGCCTTAATATATATATACACATATACATAGTTCATTTTTTTGCGAGCAACCTGCCAAAGTTTCCGGTCCGACTGGGAGATCGGTGGCAAATCTACCCTCTTAGTTGTGCTGTTTCCGATACTGCCAGAACTTCCGAGGGTAAAATAGGAATGAGAATCTGGGATTTCATTAGATCAAGCCTCCCTGGCCACAGAGACGTAAACGGGGCAAACTGGCCACGTCTATCGAGGTCAACTGACCACTCATTTCCTGCTGGCAATCATTCACCTAATGTGATGCCCATAAGTTTGGCGTCCAAAGGCAATCAATGCCAAACACAAATAGACGTTTTTTACTTATAGCAACGCCGCAAAAAAAAAAGAACAGTGAGGAAATTCTATGAAATTCGAAGACATCAATACTACCATCCTGGAAATGCGTGTCTTATCTTTTTGGGGGGAGCCCCAAAAACAGTAGACTTAGGCTTACCTTCCAACTAATCAGTCGACTCTGCCGCATGGCGATTGGAAGACAATCCTTTCCTCTTGGGAAGGGGGATACTTGGAAGTACATCTCCGTTAGTAAGTGGTCATTACCAAACATATAACCGCATGTAGTATATAACCACATATAACCATATATAACCGCATATAACCATACATAACCATACATAGCCATTCATAGACAATATGGGAATATTTGGAATCTAATTCTCCCACAAAAATTCCCAGATGATATCATGTAATACATAACCATACATAACCAATCATAACCATATACTGTATACAATACGAGGATATTCATTTGGGAAAATTATTCCACAAAAAATCCCATAATTATCCCATATGATATCATGAGTAATATTGGATTGTCATATTACCCACTTGGACAAAGAAACTTGTAGCTGAATCGAAGACCCTCTTCCAGGTCCTCCAGGTGTAGAAGTCGCAAATCCGATGGCATCATGACATTGGAAGAAACATAGGGATGCATCAACAGAAATATAGGATTATATTCAATGGATTGGTTTAAGGGAAAATTTACAGGAAAGCCATGGGACCAGGGTGGTCGCCATGTCCAGTCCTCAATGATCCACTTCGACATTGCTGAGGTCCCCGCACCGCGGCAAAAATCGATCGGTGGGCACTGGCAAAACTTGGGCCGATCTAAAACACTTCGACAGGTGCCACTTGACGCCTCAAGTGGCTCCTCTTGATGCAGCCACATGGGTGTGTCTGAAAATAGTGTACCCCTAAACCCAATGGTTACTGATCATTATCCCTATTAAATGGCTATAATTGGGAATATACCATATTTTCAGACAAACCCACATCCAAATTCTTAGAACTTCACCATACTCATCAAACCAGTACCTAATCCCCTCCAAACGGAGCGAACATGCCGCAACCACAGGCCCAAACTCACCCAATTAAAGGCCTTCACCCCTTCAATAAACCAACCCATCTTCTTGTAATAGGTCAGTTCATAGCATAAAGCCCAATAATCAATCAACCATCAACCTTCACCCACATATTCGGCCCTGAACCCATCATTTCTGGATGATATCCCATTTTTTTGGTGCTTCAAACCCATATTAGTGATTGTTAAATCTCCATTAAACAACCCCACTAGCCCCAATCAACCTGGTGTGTTGAACGAACTTTGGGCCAGGCCATTTCACCGCTTCCCATCTGGTCAGGGTATTACTCATCTCACCATCACCATGAGAGATTCCTCATCAATCAAAGGACATATTAACCATGCAGAAAATCCCTATGAATTGTCATTTTTGACCATTCCCAATGAATGGATTCATATGGGTTAATCATGATTAATCTAATCCAATTCTTCATTTTTATTCGCTACATATCTCTTGAAATCCTTGTATGAGAAAATCATCAATATCAATATGTGTAATGATTATGTTCATGTTTCCATGAACTGTTAATCAGAAAATTGTGGGTCAATCTGTTGGTAAATTAGTGGAGCACATATCCTATCCAATCAACTACAATGGAATAGAAACCCAAAATATCGGGGTGTTTCTTATACCTCCCTTTGTTTCAATGGAAAAATCCCTATGTGTTCCCATCAAACCCCTATTTTGCTGGGAAAATGCCATGCATCTTGTATAGAAAACAAGTACCATTGTTGTTTTTTACTTGAAAACCAATTTAAAACCCATTCAATGACATGAAAAATCACATTCATAATACCCTCTGGTAAATGAACATAGACCTTGAAAATCACCAAAATTTTTAGAGGTTTCACTAATCTTTCAACTCCTATCTGGCAGGGTCAAACTGTTAATTTACTGGAGGGTATGTCCTTTTCATCCACAGGAAACAACATCCTACGCCTCGGCACCGACGGCGCCTCCTCTTCTCGCCGTCGCTGCTTCTCTTGCTGAGCCACTTTGGCCTCGTCGATCATTCTCAGGGCCTGACGACTTAACGAAGGGCTGAAAATTGATGTTCAAAGGATCCCCTTTTTTTGGATTTTTCATGAGATCTAAGCACCTGAAAATTGATCTTCAGATATATTCAAATGATGTCAGTTTTGAGCAGCCAAATTTGAGGTTGGTTCATTTCACCAACAAAGATTGGGATTTGAAAAACAAAGAATTTGTTGTGTAGCTGCGCAGCCAAAAACTATGGGGGTGTGGATCCAAAAGTTTTCGATTTCACCTTCAATTTGGCCTTGGACGGCTACACCTTGGATTTTGACAAGCACAGGGATTGAGACTTCACCATAAAAACACAAGGGGAATGTATATTAAATGAAATCATCAAGGGAAAATTCCAAAGAAATGATGGCTACGGGTTAAAAAAATTGTATGGATGGACCCAGAAGTAGTAGGTCATTCTTATATCACTGGTGATCGCACTGTCCTTTTGACATAAATCAACACCAAAGCAAGGATGGGGTTGGAAAAATTTGACATTTAAGAGATTTCACATTGTGGTGTCTCGAAATAATGAGTCCCCAAAACATCCCAAAACCATAGGTGTCAATTACTTGGATGATTTGTGGGTATCCCCATTTTAGGAACCTCCATATTGTGGTTCGATAGCGTTTCACTGCTAGGTTTCTTGTTGCCAGTTCGCCCCACCGCCTGTGCGCGCTCCTTCATTCGCCGGTCGTGCTCCTTTTTCTCTGCCTGAGCACAGGATTTTAGAGGTAAAAGCGCCATGGATTTCCTGTAGATGTTCTAAACCAAACGATTACCCTCCAGTAAACGTTTACATAACGAACTGGAAAATCACAATTTATAATAGGTAAATCATCTATTTCAATGGTCCATGGCTTCCAGTTCGCAAACTGTAACAAATTACCGGAGGGTTTTTCAGCATGATTCTTGACAATCTTTTCAAACAGGAACAGAATCCACCAAATCTGCATCATCACACACGATCATCCTGGCATGGGCAACACATTGTCATCACAGCATTTTGAAAAAACCTTGGTGGTTGACCTACCCCATTGAAAAATGATGGAGTGAAAGTCAGTTGGGATGATGAAATTCCCAATATATAGAAAAATGAAATTCATGTTCCAAACCACCAAACAATTTTCTTGGTTTTTAAGCCCAAGCTACGTGCACCGCCAAGAGCTTTGAAACTTTGCGCTGAAGAAGATTCTGAAAAAATTGGCGAATAGCTCTGACCCTCCAAAGAACTGACGTTTGATGAGATTCTACTCATCCCCAAATGATAGGGCTAGTAGTAGCCAGGCTTTCCCATATAACCCCCGTCAAATATAATTATTTCCAAATAATGCACCCAACAGCTAACCGTTGCAGCTAACCAAGTTATAAATCCAATTATGTTTATATATCTTCATGTTTGTTGGTTAAATTGGCATGTTCCATGTTCCTATACTTTTCCCACGGGGGGGTCCAAAAAGCTGCCTTCTCACGTTCCGCGAATGCAGCTCGCAATTGCCTTTGGCCTGAATCTGGGGCTAACTAGACCTGAAAATGGGCTAGGAATGGATAGCAAAACCCACATCAAGCCCATAAAAACAAAATAAGTGAAAAATGATAAACATACTAAAAATATAGTGGTAACATACATGTTTTAATGGTGTAATATATGCTTAACTACTTTTTTTAATGGGACTTGCAGGGTCTAGACAGCTTTGAATAGGGAAACATCTGTCCTTCACCAGTGGATGCAACGGGATCAAAAGAAATTGGCCTCTGGTGTGGCGAAAATCCCAAAAAATCGAGGCTTCCAGGGGAACATCAGCAATTTCAATGGGGGATTTCTATGGATTTCTGCTATGTTTGATTACCATTTTAGGATTTTTGGGGCTGAAAGGCTGAAAGATGCTGCAAGTACTGACTCCTCGCACTGGCCATGGCTCACGGCTGCTCCGACCCTGCTCCTTTTCACCGATTTCGCTGGGTGCTGAACGAACCAGTCGGTTCGGGCACCCAAGTTCCGCCGAGCATCGGGTGATATCTCAGTTCGTCAGAGGAGTTTCCAGTGGTCGGGTGCCACAGAACTCTCTGAGATGGAGATGGCTCAGGGATAGCATTTATCATAGGAATTCATAGGATGTGTACCCCCACAGGAGGCAACTTGGATGGCCGATGGTGAACAAGAATGATCATTGTGAGTCCTCTCAACTGCAATCGCTGCAACCTTTGAGCCATACCAGGGCAACTTTACCTATGCAAACCATTGACCCATCTTTGATGCAACGGTCGGATACCAAAAACTGGGAGGCTACGTTACTACAAAGGCCAAATTTTCTTTGGGATCAGTCAGATCCTTTGTGAAACAGCTCATGCCGCATGCAACCACCACCAAAAGACACATCGTAATTGGGTACTTATGTATATACTTCATCTATTTCCCATCTATATAATTGGATTACTGGATTACCAAAAAATCACCACCTCACAATAAAAACCTTCAACTTCAACATCCATCTCTACCTCGCCATCAGAGGTCCTTGGCCTCCTTGGCGTCCTTCGCGCAGTCACTGCTCTCGGGGTCGCACTTCAGGCCATGGTGCAGCGATGTGTAGTTCTTGGGCCACGGCACCGGCAAACTGGCGCTGACGTTGGTGGCCGGCACCAGCTCCAGGACGTTCTGGCGACCGCCGCCCGCACCTGGATCACGCACGGAAAAATCACCCAGTCCGACGGTGGGATTTTTAAGGAGGACTCAGGAAACAACCTACCCTCCGGTAATGTAACAGTTTGCGAACTGGAAGCCATGGCCCATTGAAATCGTTGATTTACCCATTGAAGATGCTGATTTGCCATAGATGTTAGTTTACCATACTGTGGAGCCCAATCCTCTGGAGCTCATGGATTCCATACTGTGGATGGTTTGGCTCAATCCTGCACCACCAAAAGGATATGCTTAAACCGTTAAAGCCCAACAAAATAATGGGATGTTTACCATCGAATCTATCAACTGGTTTTTAGGATTTCTTCAACCATCGCCTGTGATGTAAGCGCCCCAGAAGGTCCCATCTGCCACAGTCGTCTTGTAGACGTCCCAGCCAGGTGTGTTGATGATCCCTGCGTTACTCACCACCCCTCCGAGAGCTTGGACTTCTTCAGTGTAGATGTACCAACCTGACGAACGCTGAGGCAGGATTTTCAGCCGAGAGAATGAACAATAACATGAATATTGTATATACAGCAATAATATATGTAGAAATATATATATATATAATGTAGAAAGCTAAGGGTAGTATCCCACTATATTCCCATTGTATCCCCATTATACTCATTATATCACCATGTTTGTTGGCTAAATCCTGTCTGTTTGATGCTTAAATCCCCAGTAAAAATAACCATGAACCAATCGTCATTCAATCACCAGAAATCACCAGGAAAATCATCACAGCTTAAGTGGCTATATAAATCATCACCAATGAGTGGTTATATAATGTTGTATAGTGTTATATAGTTATATAATGTTATATATATATAGTTATATATATATATGTATTATATATAATATATATATATGTATGTATAACCTGAGTCACTAACCATGCCCAGCCACCGTCTTGTTGTGTATAGTCTCTGTCAACATATTGCCAATAGGTGACCGCATTGGCGCCCTGATTCACGGCCACGGCCAACTTGTCAGCCATGAGTTGAGCGCCGTTCTCAAAATACTCACTGAGAAAGATGGGAATTCCTGGCAAACATCAAATCTGGGAAAAACTGTGGAAAAATCTGGGAAAATCTTGGAAAAACTGTGGAAAAATCTGGAAAGAATGGTAAAGAGGAAGTACTGGTTGGTGGTTGAGCCCTACCCCTCTGAAAAATATGAGTTCGTCAGTTGGGATGATGAAATTCCCAATATATGGAAAGTCATAAAATTCATGTTCCAAACCAGCAACCAGATATAAAAAAATGTTCCAGTCTATGGATTGATTTAAGGGAAAATCTTAACCGGAAACCATGGTTTTTACCATCAAATATAGGGGTTTCCGGTTCAAAATTTCCCATCATCCAATTCTATGAAGGGGAGAAAACGACAACCACAACATATCAACCACAACAACCTTGGGGCGGGATGTCTTATGGAAAAATTGACATGAAATCATGTTTAGTATGGTCCAGCATCTAATGTTTGTGTAGCAAATTTATGCATAAATTTGCTATCTCGGCCGCAGCAATTTCTGGCTTCCCGAATTTGGATCAACCGGGGAAATAGAACAAGCTGGGAACATGATGGTGAAACCATACTGTGACATGATCTTCTCATGGATGTTCGTTCTAGATCCCTATAACACGGACTAGCCACTGGACAAAACCAGGGCCGACATTACGGCCGACATGTGAAAAAAACCTTCGGACCATGGCATGGCAGGACTTTCACCAGGGTTCCGCCCAACTTGATGGCATTTTTCTTGGCCAACTGGATCACTTCCTCGAAACTTCCAGTGGCGGGAGGTGAGTAGAAGTGGAAGGACAAGATCAAGCGATTCTGCTGGGCGAAGGAGTCAAAGATCTTCCTGGATCTGGCAATAAATACCCCTTTGAAACATAGGGATTTAGCCAACAACAATGGTGCTTTGATGGGGATATCATGGAAGATGTAGCCAACAATATGAAGTTGGCAGTGTCTGAAAGTTGGACAAAATTTTGTTTTTAAATACCCAACATGACAATTTTAGTAAGCAAAATGATGATTAATCAGTGGATTTGGTCGTAGAAAATGTCTGACAAACCCAGGGAGAACCTCCCTGGCCACCCCAGACACTTTCAAAGTTTCAAAAGTGAAAATAGGTAAAGAATGGTAAAGAGGAAATAATACATTTGTTACTTTATACCTAAAAAGTGGCTACCAAAAGTGGCTACCTAAAAATACGTTCATAATAGCCAATACCCAAAAGTGGCTACCAAATACCTAGAATTCATTGGAGCACCCCTGATGTTGGCCAGATTTAGCTGAAGTGGATCTGATTCAATGACTGATCATCCACCAACCTTTGACATCATCTAAACCCATATGGCCCATATTTTGCTTAATGGGCTAATATATGCTGATATTGTTGCATTATCAAACTGATCATTAATTAAATTATGATATACAGTATGTATCCTCATGTTTGCTGCTTTGAAACCAAGAAAAAACCCTCCAGCCCCAGAAATCTTGTGAAAAAACACGTCCAGCATCTTTGCTTCACGTGGGGTGCCCGAGCACGGACAACAGGTCAGCAGTTTGATGAACCACGACTCGCCCTCCACGGTGCTGGTAAAGTTGGCGATGGCAATGGGGGACTTGGGAACTGTGGCATCTTTCTCCAGCTCTGCCATGACATCGGCTTGGAAGGCAAGGATCCTCAGTTAAACTGGTTTTCAATGGGGGTATCATCTTATAACATATCTGGTTATGATAATTAACCATTAACCAATGATGAAATGTGGGTTATCAATTGGACTATTGGACTATTGGATAATGGCTGGTTGGTGGTTTCAACCATCTTGAAAAATATGAAAGTCAATGGGAAGGATGACATCCCATATATGAAATGGAAAACAAAAAATGTTCCAAACCACCAACCAGATATACACACATTTCTTACATCATATAACTATAACAGTCATATAACAGGATATAATCAAACGATATTAATGGGATATATTTGCTTGGAAGGATCCTCAGTTTCTGTATCAATGGATTGATTTTCTTGGGAAAATCACCGGAAAGCATGGATTTTCCCGTGGTTTATGGGAAGCTTCCTGTATTTTTTCCGTTAAACCAATCCATTGACCTTAAGATTTCTGACTATGTGTGTATATAGCGGGATTTAACTAATCGATATTGATGGGATATATTTACTGCAATATATGTAACGAAATATAGTGATATCATGGATTTAATGGGATATGTTTACAGTAATGATGTATAACTATAAGTTAATATCACCAACAATATGAGGATATTATTTCCTGAAATTAACATGGCAGCCAATTTCCAGCCATTATTTAGGAAGGAATATCTGATCAAAAACCATCAGCTCAGTTTTGGGATCTCACGGTATGACAAACTCTGGGCGGCATGCAGTGTTCGTGGAGGTTTACAGGTTCCCAAGTCATGGCTTATCATAATCTCCAATAAACATCAATAAACCAGGCGATCCCCTAACGATCAATCAACAAGGGTTTTAGGCACTACTTGTGTTTACATCGCTGAAACATGGATGACTTGTGGATCAAATATCGTCACGTGACAGGGATTGACATGTCGACTGAATTTGGTCCGTACCAAATAGAAAAAAAAACGTACACACACCTTGAAATGTGATCAAAAGCTGGGAAACATGGATGAGATAATGAGATCAATCTGTGGTTGAACTACTTGGAATAAACTTAAGCAGTCCTGAAAACCCACCGAAACTTGGGAAACATCGAATCAGAGCTCCCAAGTCTTCGGCTCTGTCTCTCGTTGATCGAAAACACCAAGTGTGTCCAAGGATCTTTGACCAAACCGTCAAGACGTAGCAAATATCTGGCAAGCCAGCAATGGGCGGCTCATTCATCAGCTCCACTGCTATGACATTGTCATATTTTTCCCAGACACTGCACAGGTACCTCAGAAACAACTCAAACATATCCAAAATCCTCGGTTGTGGTTGTTGTGGTTGTTGTGGTTGTTGTGGTTGTTGTGGTTGTTGTGGTTGTTGTGGTTGTTGTGGTTGTTGTGGTTGTTGTGGTTGTTGTGGTTGTTGTGGTTGTTGTGGTTGTTGTGGTTGTTGCTGCTGTTGCTGCTGTTGCTGCTGTTGCTGCTGCTGCTGGTGGTGGTGGTGGTGTTGGTGTTGGTGTTGTTGTTGTTGTTGCTGTTGTTGTTACTGTTGCAGTTGCTGTTGCTGTTGCTGCTGCTGTTGTTGTGGTTGTGGTTGTGGCTGTGGTTGTGGTTGTGGTTGTGTGTGTGTATTTCAGCTCTCAACCCACACAGATAGAATGGCCATGAATGGTCCTGGCCATCATTTTTGAGCCAAAGGTACTTGACCAACGAGACAAAAGGGTCGAAGAAGATGGCTCGATCTGCATCATTGTGTTTTGACGCGTAGATCCGTCGGGCTGTGTTCTGAACCTGTGCAGTGGTCAACAATCGACTCCATTGTGAGTCGGCATTGTTTCTTCGCATACTGGCGTTGCCAACGTTCATCCATGCAGGATTACCTTCGGAACCCACGGAGTAAGGTTCCCAGGGAACGGGGTCCTGATCATATGTCACGATGTCAAGATTGCACAGCCTGGCCGCACAGTTGCACAAGCAAAAGAAGGGCTGGAGTGGATACACTGGCGTGGTGATGTATGGAGTGCGACAGGAATCTGGCCAACACTCACAGCACCAGCGTGAGAAGCAACAGCAACCTGGTTGGTGGTATGTGGTATACCTACCCCTCTGAAAAAAATATGAGTGAAAGTCAGTTGGGAGTATGAAATTCCCAACTGAATGGAAAGTCATAAAATTCATGTTCCAAACCACCAACCAGCAACAGCAGCATTGCTCCAATTTGCACCCTGCTCGTTGTTGAAAATCCGCCGTCGCCCACCAGGGATAACCTTCTCCTCCGTTGGTAGTTGCGCATGCATCTTGGTGCATATCCAGAAAGACATAGACTCCTGGGGAAACTCGGAGGAAACAGCTACACTTCATCCCAAAAGGGCTCTGAAAAAATAGAGTAGCCCCAAACAAAATTGATGGTGACTCATATGTTTCCTCAAAACCTCATTGTTTTTGGGATATTGTTTGTGCTGACCCCAGTAGTCAGACACAAATTTCATCAGAGCGTCCTTCTTCCTGAAAAGTCTTCACCACTCCTTGGACTTGCTCAAAGGTGCCCATAAAGAACAAAGAAACACTTTCCAGTACATATAGCCCAAGTAGGATTATTATATATATATGTGATTTCTACAATGTGGTAATCCCAATGCCATAACCTACCACTTAGGACTGGTGTTTACCATCCATTTCTGGTCATACTGGGGATGCTGTATGGCTTTGAGCTTGCCACATTGCTTTAATTATAACTGTCACATCAAAAAAAACTCCATCGCAATCATTGCATGTATAAGATATTATAACATGATCCCATATATATATTTTCCTATACTCTAGTTATAAAACTACTTTCAAATCCCCTTTAAGAAAAAAACTCAGAATCACATCCTCCAGGCGACCTTCCAAGGTGGTCTTGAAACTTTCATCCACCGTGGTTCCCTTCTCCTTCAGCGCCGCTTCCATCATGGCCCCCAGCCGCACGCATGGCACCACCGGGCGGGCCGCGCCGTTGGAGGCGGGCGGCGGCACGTAGGCCATGTTCTGGGCGCCTTGGAACATACTTTGGGCGTTGCTGCGGACCACCTGCAGGAGGCCAGGGCCCCCAAAAAAGTGGCTGAAGTCTATGGTAAAAATGGTAGATATATAGATATGACTAATATATAACTATAGTCTAGTCAATAAGGTTTATAAACCAACAAACAAACATCACATTTGGGGGCACCATCCTGTGCCAATTCCCTGCCAATTTCCCCGGGGAGTGAACATTCTGAGTTCTGTTAATTATAACTGTGGTGGCATTTTTAGAGTTCAGATGACACGCACAAATCAAGAAGTGTCGTCAGCACAGGCAGGTTGGTCACAGGCCGTTGGACCTTTCTGGCATGGCCCCTGCGCAAGGATCACACTGATGCACTCATGGCTCAAGAAATTTGCGGCAGCTGCGCTGCCCTGTTTTTGCCCGTTTTAAGGGTTCGCAGGTTATGAGCCCAACCAATTTGGTTGGGTGCACTCCGTAGGTGCCGATGGATCGAAGGCGCCGACAACGTGGGGAAACAGCTGACCAACGACTGGACCGGCTGATCGAGATGGAGCAGAGGTCGCAACTCCAGCCCCCTGCAGTGCCAGAAGTCCGAAGACTGAAGGTAGACGAGGGAGGTGCAGCAGCTTCGGGTTCGGAACTTCGACATGATGGTCGAGGCGAAGATGGAGAAGGAGCTGTGCAGGGGCCGACAACTTCGCTGCAGCTTGGGTCAGATGTCCAGGTGCCTGAGGGGATGCTGGCTCCGCTTTTCCAAGACCTTGGACCTGAAGGGACGTCTGGGGTGCTCTAAAGAAGGTTGGATGAGGATGACATCACTCGTCCGGCAGTTGAGGCAGAGCCTGGACTTCGTGGGAGCCCTGGTGCTGAACAGCCTGTTCAAGATCTACCCAATGATGATGGCCGAGGACAAGGTTTTGTACACCGTGATGGGTCAAAAGGCAGCTGGTGGCCCGTTTGGCCAGGATCGCAGTGGCACTGGAGGCTTAGTGGTGTCTCCTGGCGTCAATGCCTTTTGGAGCGCTGGTGTCAGAAGGGCAGCTGCCTTGGAGCAGGTAGCGGATGTGGAGAGGCCGTTGGCTCTTCCGCCTTTAGCTGGACCGCCTGTGACATTTGGCGCTGTGCAGGCCCTTGGAGCTGATCATGGAGGTTCGTGGCAGCTGGCATGAGCCTTGGGCAGGCTCCTTTGAGCGGTGCTGGGCTTGTGCAGGCCCATGGTGCTGAATGTCTTCAAGGGGGTCCAGAGCAGGCCCATGGTGCTGGAGGTCGTCGGGGGTCCTGAGCAGGCCCGTGGTGGAGTGCGCGGCGCTGGCCCTGTGCAGGCCTTGACCAATGGGGCGCTGTCGCAACCATCCCCTGAGAAGTCAGTGGAGGAGCTGCGACTCCGCATCATGAAGGAGGCGGAGGAGAGCTTCATCCGGGAGGCCAAGAAACTCAAGGGTGAGGAGATCGAAGGGGAGATTAGGTCGTACCACACGGCTTCGAGTGGCCCAGAAGCTGCGGCGAGACTGGTGCCGCCTATGCCGGCCTTGCAGGGGGCCGCAACAGCAACGCCATTGGCTATGCAGTCAGCTGGACACCTCATGCCCCTGTATCCGGCTGGACGGGATCAAGCTCGACATGATGGACTTCAACGAGGAGCGCAGATTGCTGGTCAAGGGCATGGAGTGGTGTGGAGTCAACCTGTTTCTCCGATGGCAGTGAACTCTCCTGGGCTTCTCGATGGTCAATCTCCTGGACTCCATGGAGGAGTATGGACATCTCATGGACATCTTCAAGCTGCTGGACTTCATGGAGGAGTTGGACCAACGGTGAACTCACATGGTCATGCGACTGGCTTGCATGGTGGGGGCCGAATTCCAAGTAGCTGGAATCCAACAGGCCCTATGGCATCACTTGGAGGTGGGGGCATGGACTCGAATGTGGCGGCCGGCACAACAGGGGCTGCGCCGTTGGTTATGCCTCCAGGGCTTGGTGGTCCGGATCAACCTCAAGGGAACACGACCCCGATGGAGCCGCTGCGGAGCTCTGATCTTCCTCTACTACCACAACCTGGCACAGAGCAGTCGGCCTTGCAGTTTGGGGATTGGATCACGGTGGTCACGCCGATGCTTGGAGATGTGGCTGGATCGGCACGTGGATGGTGGAACGACATCCTGAGGGAGGCCTCGAACTTGTATGACAGATGGCTCACCTCAACACCTCTTGAGAGGATTCGACTTCGTCCAGCTGAAGTTCAACGTTCAGAAGCCCATCTACGCTTGGAGCAGAGGGTGGTGCCAATGTTGCTGAAGTGCATCCCGGAGCTCATCAAGCAGGACTTGATTGCCAGCAGAACCATGACGGTGACGGGCATCATGTACCAGCTGTGGACTATCTTCCAGCCGGGTGGGAGCTCTGAAAGGGTGAGCATCCTCAAGCAGCTCACAGAGCCGAAGGTGGCGGCCAGTGCACCAGATCTCCTTGGAGGACTCAGAAGATGGAGACGGTTGATGAGCAGGTCATTGGAGTTGCACTTGACGCTGCCAGACCCGATCATCTTGAGTGGAGTCTTGCATCGCTTTGCAGATGCCTTGGGAAAACTTGGTGGGACGCAGTTGGCCTATCGAGTGGCGTCAGTGAGGCAGGAGCTGGGTGTGGACATCCGACCTGGGGCGGTCTCCATTGAGCAGTATGCGGAGTACCTCCAATCTGAGGCTGAAGAACTGAGCCTTGGGATCGGCTTGAAGGCCACTACCGCTGGAACCACCGCCACGACATCCCTGAAGGCCATGGTGGGTATGGAGATTCCAACCTTGACTACAAGCACAACCTCGGGCAACCTCGGGGAGCACTATGAAGTCCCCATGCAAGTTCTGGAAGACTACGGAGGGGTGCAGACGTGGAGCACTTTGCACGTTTCTTCATGAGACCTCCGAGATGAAGGGAAGGTGCTTCAATTGTGGGAGTTCCTCACACCTTCGTCGGGAGTGCACCGCGAAGACATCATCTACTCCAACTTCTACCCCGGCACAACAGGGGGGTCCTGCAGGAGAGGGCTCACAACAGAAGAAGGTGTCGAAGGTGAAGGCTGCTTCGAAGCCGGTTGCCAAGGACCCACCTGGTGATGCGCAGAAAGGAAAGGCCGCCAATGGAGGCGAGATGAAACCCAAGGAGGTCGTCAATGGCCTTTCTGGAGCGACTTCAGAAGGAACCCAGGGAAGTGAATCTTCCACCACAGAGCCAATGGGGGAACCCTCAACCGAGGCAGCAGCAGAGCTGATGCGAGAGGCCACAAGCCTCTTGAAGTCCATCAGGTCATTGAAGGCCGTGCGGATGAAGTCCGTTGGAGAAGGGAACTTTGGTGGACCTGGGGAGTATGCTACTCATGGACTTCGACAGGCCAAGCCTGAAGAGGAGCCGGACCTGATCGCCACGAAGGTGGAACTGGCTTGTGGGTCAACGGTGCTCTACAAGCACTCCAAGCATCAGACCTTGCTGAGCAAGGAGCCGGTGGAGCCAATCATACCTTTGGCCTGGCTGGTGGCGGCCGACCACAGGATCACATGGCGCAGGGACAGCATTGTGATCCATCACCCAATGAGGGGACCATTGAAATGCAGCTTGAGGGGCGGTTGCCCGGTGATGTCTCGCTCCGAGGGCTTGGAGTTGTTGGCTGACCTTGAGAAGATGCAGCAGACCAACATTGAGGTCAAGGAGGACGAGCTGAATTGGTGGGCGAGCCGATTCCCACAGGTGCCGCCTTCTGTCTGGAAGTTCATGAAGGGACAGGGTGAATCTTGGAAGGATCATGCTGTTGGTCTTCCCTGGAACCGCCATCGGAGGCGGCGACTGTGGCGCTGTCGTGGGGTGATCCTGCATCTGTTTTCTGGCCGAAATCCCAAGCATTGGGCTGAGCTGGAGCAGGCGGGCTACATGGTCATCACTGTTGACACCCTTCAGGGAGTGGATCTTCATGATGCAGCGACTTGGGCATTTCTTTGGGAGCTGGCTTGCGCAGGGAAGATTGCCGCGATCCTGGGGTGGTCTGCCTTGCCGCACAACTTCAAGGTTGCGTCAACGCCAGCCTGGACCACCTCCATTGAGGGGGCGAGATGAATGGCGGTTCTCTTTGGAGGGCCTCACAACATGGGATCTTCACAGGGTCAACTCAGACACGGCCCTACTCTTCAAGCAGCTTGGACTCTTCATCAAAGCCGAGGAGAAGCGCCTGCAGGTGTTGGAACTCCAATCACTTCCTACTGCTTTTGCATTGGAATCCCCTGAAGACCCAATGGCATACTTGGGAGTTGAGGCTGCGCACAACCTTCCATCCTTTTGGAACTTCCCTGAACTGAAGGAGATGGTGGGCTTGGGAAACTTGAGGCTGGTGAGCTTTGACCAGTCCCAAATGGGGCATGCCCGAAGGAAGCCAACCACCATCCTGGGGAACTTGCCTGGATTGGAACAGCTGGACGGCCTGAGAGATTCATCTCGACGATCGGACCCACTTCCCAGAGGACTTCAGGAGTCAATAGAAGCTTCGAAGGATTGGGCGAGTTGGGCGCCGGGCTTGGTGATGGCTCTCAAGGAGGCGCTGAAGGTATACCTTTCCCAACGGGATCAATGCCTGGCTCAACGCATCCACAAGCTGAACGTTGAGGAGTGGAAGCAGCATGTCAAAGCTCATCATCACCCTTACCGAAGAGATTGTCGTCGGTGCATGGAGCTGGCCGGAGTGGATAGCCCACATCGGAGGTCGCATGCTGACAGCTCAGCCTATGTTCTTTCCATGGACTTGGTGGGTCCATATCCAGTTGGTAGAGATGATGGTCGCCGAAGAAACGGGAAGTACATCATGGTTGCTACCGTCCCACTGCCGATGCTGGAGCGTGACGACTTGTCCGAGGACCAGAAGGTTGACAGGGACGATGAGAAGATCAAGACGGATGGGAAGGAAGCCAACGAGAGCTTGGATAGCCATGCAGATGGTGAGCCTGGAGCACCTCAAGATCTACCACGACCTGAAGAGGGAGCTTCTCTGGAGGAAGTTGATGAGGAGCAT